TCGAGACCCGGGTCAGAGGACCCCCTTGGGGTCCCGACTCCCGAACCCATTGCAAAAATCTCGATTCGATTTGGTTAGGTTTGGACCATTCTATGACCCCAAACGTAACCAAGGGTTCTGCAGGCGGTTGAATGCCATACTTCTACCTTAAGTGTATAAGCTGGTCATTTATACTGTCTTATTTTCTGTAGTTCAAGCAATATACGGTAGTTGATATCTGTCGAAAGCGACCCTCGAAGAGATTTCACGATACTGTAGGGTCGCCGATCGGGCAAGGACAAAATGTCACAGTACGTTTACTATCATTCGCGAATGCATGTAGAAAATACCTAATATAGCCTGCTTCGGTCTGCTTCAGTTGGCCTGGAGGCTGGACATGCCATAATGATATGGCAACTTTCAATCAAATGTCATTGCAGAGAGGAACACTTCACGTTGAAGAGAAGGAAGAAAGAGGGCGACTTCCTTCAATAATCTTTTCATTTCAAGGATCTGAAGTTCTGACCTTGCTTATCAGTCTCTTCACCAGCTTTTGGAGCTGAGCTTTGAGGCGCAATCAAAAGCGTCTTTCCGCAATTTCTCTTGTTCAAAATTGTGCACAGAAGCAGACTGCAGGTTGCATTGAACCACCGTGCTTTTGATTAGTACAAGCAGACAATGGCCCAAAAGAAGCAGAAGTATGATCGGCAGCTCAGGTTAGTCTCATGCCCTGCTACAGAACTACTTGTCAAGTACCACCACTGGCGCCATCACCAATCCTGTTCTTCACTATCTTCTTTCGACGTCAGTCACTCTCTTGAAAGTTGAGTCAAGTTTAATATCTGAGAAGTGGCATTGATGTGGTGGTGCTGGCAAACGAGCAGCTTTTATTCCCATGATGCAACTTTTGAGGCAGGCTTTGATTCTCAGGTTGGTTCTTGTGCAGGATCTGGGGCGAGCATGGACAGGAAGCTTTAGAAAATGCAAAGGTCTGCCTGCTAAACTGTGGCCCAACTGGTTCTGAAGCCCTGAAGAACTTGGTACTAGGAGGGATTGGATCTTTCACAATTGTCGATGGGAAGAAAGTGGAACCTTCTGATTTGGGCAACAACTTCCTACGTGAGTTTCATGTCCCCTTCCAAGCCACCATGGTCAAGCGGAGCATAGCGATCAGCATATGCTTATGCATGTCTTGAGTGACAGTGGTCCTGAAAGTTGGAAGCCGTGAAAGGTTTTGATCAGTTCTGCCTCTGTGTTCGTTTGTCACAGCAAGGCATTGTGAGAAAGCAAGGTGAACCTGTCAGGATGTTGAAAAGCCTGTGCTAGGAGTAAAAGTGATGGTCGACCACACCACCAACCCGTCTTTGCTTTCTTTGCGGGGGCCTTATTGAAGATGACCAGAAGTATGAAGCCAGCTTAGCAAACCTTATCAGTCACTTGTCATCCTAGCGTTGAGACCCTTTGTTGGCACCACCCCCATCAAGTCTATGAGTGTCGACACAAAGTGTAGAACTGTTTCACGAAGGATTTATGAAGAGTTTACGCAACCTTTTGGTTCTTGCAGTTGATCATGACAGCCTGGGTTCATCTCGGGCCAAGACCGCCACCTCATTACTTCAAGAACTCAACGACACTGTTGACGCTCAATTTGTCGAAGAGTCACCAGAGGCGCTGCTGAACTCGAATCCTGGATTCTTCGGCGACTTCACGCTTGTTATTGCCACCCAGGTAACCAGCTGGATTGCGTTTCATCCTGAGACCTGCAAATGAAGCTGTTGAAGGTTGCAATTTTTACGAGAAAGGCTCATATTTGTGCGTCAGTCTGGCAGAAGTTGCTCGGTGACTTCCCCTCGTTCAGGAAGTCTTTGTTTTACACTGTTCTACACCTTGTTTTATACAACTTGGTCGAAGTTGCTCAGAGAATCTAACGATTGTGGTTCCACTCTTGCAGCTCACTGAGAGTGCTCTTCTCAAACTCGACAAGATCTGTCGAGAGCACTCTGTCACGCTCTTGGTTGCTCGATCATACGGGTTGGCGGGACTGGTCCGAATCAGCACAGAGGCAAGTGTCTGAACACAGATTGTGGATGTCAGGGCAATATGTCTGCAGCTCGCAAATTGGAAGTAGATCGTGGAGGACCGCTTAGAAGCTCAATTCTCTTGTCGTGAATCGCTCTCCTGTATCAACCTTTGGGTATATCAGTCTATTATCAATGGACGAAGAATCACTGTCAAGACCTGTAGTCAGAGTGAAGCTGTCTTCGGCTGCCTTCTCCTGGAAACGAAGGGATGCGTATTATCGTGTGGTCCTGCCAGTGCTGGTCATTAACTCAGCCTTCGCACCTGCTGCAGGAACATACAGTAATCGAGTCGAAACCAGACAGTGCAGTTGAAGATCTGCGGTTCCACTGCCCTTGGCCAGCCCTTACAGAGTATGCCGCAGACTTTGACATCGACACCAAAGACCCTCTTACTCATAAGCACATCCCCTACGGTATTATTCTGCTCAAAGTCACCGAGGAGTGGAAGGCGTCGCATGATGGGAAGCTGCCGGCTAACTCAAAGGAGCGTGCTGAATTCAAGGTACTGCCCCATTGACCTTTTAGAAACATTGTCTGATAGATCAACACTAATAGATCTATTAGACACTTTCTGCTTTCGTCAGAGCAGAAAGTTCTGACGGTCGATGCTAAACGTCTGTCAGTTTCGTTCTTCAATTTCCGCGGTGTCTGTTCAGTGTCCACTTTCTATTTTCTCTGCAAAAGGATTTTTTGTTTTTATTCTAATAGAAAGGTCGTGGCTGTGAGGTTGCAAATGTGATTGCACGCCTGCTCTAAAGTTTTTGAAGCAGCGGTGGATGTCGAATGAGCGAAGCTTTTTCCATCTTTCAGTCTGATGATCTCGCCGAACGATCTCGTGAACCAACCAAGAACGTATTAGTGCATCTTCTTTCAGAGTATTTTTAGTTTTAATTTCGCCGCCTCCTCACAGTGCATTCCTGTTGAGGCGAGAGGCAGTTGCCTGCCCTACGTGCAAGCCACGTGGGGCAGACGCTCTGTTTCAGGGAGCTTCACCAAGTTCTCCACCCTAATGAACACTTTTCACAGAAATTTCCTATGAAAACTAAGTTTCTCTTTGGCAGGAAGCAATCAAAGCACGAACGAACCCGCTCGAAGAGGAGGAGAACTACAAGGAGGCCCTCGCCGCTGCCTTCAAGGTCTGGTCGCCCCCCAGCATCAGCTCCGAACTCCGGACGGTCCTCGATGATCGAGCCGCCGAGACCCTGGACGCGAAGTCGCCTGTCTTTTGGATCCTGGTAAGTATAAAATGTTTCTGTCCTTAAAAGCGCTCAGAGAGCTCTCTTCGTTCTCTCCATTTCCACTGAACAAAGTCATGCCCGGGTCTTCGTTTGTTTCCAAATTTTGGAGGAAGCGATTGGGAATCAGTGAACGCAGTCGCACATCATGCAAAGCGCTACTGCATGCTACTTGCCGATATTTCCATTGACAACCATTGTTAAGCGTCTCGATCATTCCTGATAGCTTTTCTGATGATGGTCTACACTTCTCGTGTAATCGATGATGAATTGTGGATGATCTTTGAGCCGAGGACGAGGGTCAAACATCAGGCATCGCCTGCCTCCTCAAGTGCAATAACTGCATGCGCCGGGCTCTGACGACAATTCCAATCGTTTCAGGTAGCTGCTTTGAACGCATTCGTGAAGGGAGAGGGCGCCGGAGAGCTTCCACTGGAGGGGTCGATACCGGACATGACTTCATTCACGGAGTAAGAGCGCCTCTCATACGAATCCTGAGAAAGAGATATGCAATATTCTTCCCAATCTCCGACCCTTCTAAGGCTCACAAGTTGACTTTGAAGCTGAAGTTGTTCCTGACGGTGAGAACGATAGCGAACGCTCCGTTCCTTGAATCTGCGCAATCTGCTTCCGGACCCAACCCTTGAAAGACCGATCTTTCTGCTCGTCCTCCTCCTAACGTCAAACGCAATCAAGAAAGCGTGAAAGTGTCGGATGATCGAGTGGAATAGCCGCAGAGGTTTTATCGTCCGTTTCCTTTCCAAATTTTGAAGTTGGGAGGCTCAAACGCGGCTCAAGCAGTTCCGCTTTGCCGAGCGCAGGTCGTACGTCGGGTTGCAGCGCGTCTACCAGGAGAAGGCCCTTTCGGACGCCGCAGCGGTGGAGGGGCACGTCCGCAGGCTGCTCAAAAAGCTCGGACGGGAACCGGCGTCCATTTCCCCTCCCACAGTGAAGCACTTCTGCAAGAACGCGCGCAACCTGCGGGTACTCCGGTACAGACCGCTGGCGGAGGAGTACGGGGCGGTGGGCAACAAGAAGGGCGAGCTGCAGGTGGGGCCATTCCCTGTTTCCTTTTTCTTTTCCATCCTTGCTGGCGTGCACTATCCTTCTTACTTTCTCTTACTTTCTTTTTCCTGTCTTAGTATTCTAGCTTCCCCTCCATATTGGCCTCTGATTTTGAGGGAAGGGAGTTTCTCTTCTCCGCTAGATCGAGGCGCCATGTGTCGAAGAAAACTCTTTCGCAGGTTGCTCAATTTTGATTGAACAGACGGACTCCTGAAAGAGCGCTTCCGGAGTCGAGCGTGGAGCTTTCGCTTCAACGATGGGATTTGAGTGTTTCGAAGTCAACAAGAAGCCTCATCAAACAAAAGAGCTAAGACGCACTCTGCCCATGTGGAAAATTCCTCTAATATATTTTGAATTTATGGACCGTTGCAGAGCCTGCTCGGGTCCGAAGACAACAGCCACGCGGCGCTGTATCTGCTGCTCCGGGGCGCGGACCACTTCGCGGCGACCTACAACCGCTTCCCGGGCGTCTTCGACAGCGAACTAGAGGAGGACGTGTCGCGGCTCAAGGCGGTGGCTGGGGGGCTGCTTAACGAAGGGGGCTCAGGTGGGCTTCGCTCAGGATTTCCCGCTTGTTTTAGCTGCCGAGAGCGGACGTGATTCAACTTTTCTGACCGATGCTTTCTTGGTTGGCGGTTCTCGAAGTCCTCGGCTTGATGCGCGTTCGTTCAGGTCTGGAACCTTTGGGCAAGATCTGCTTATGGAACACGGCCCTTACGAGGCAGTCAGAGACTGACGTTGGCTCTTCCACAATCACGTTTCCAGCGGGGTTCCCCAAAGCGCCTAGTCTCCAACCTTGCGCTTCCTTTGAGTCTGCACAACCGCATTCCAGCTCTGACAAGCTGCCCCTCAAAAAGTCGTTGTGTAGGCCCAGATGCAAGAGCCGACGTCATTGCGCCTGTCACTGTGCGCTTCAGGTGCTGCTTTGCCGGACGATTACGTCACTGAGGTCTGCCGTTTTGGCGCCGGTGAGCTGCACACGGTCGCTGCCATCATCGGGGGGATCGCGTCGCAAGAGGCCATCAAGGTATGGAGCGCCCTTGGACGAGGTTGAACGAATTATTGACAACCAGCGTTTTTCATTTAGGAGCGTCTAGTCGATCGGAGGCAGTCGCTCCCTTAGTCCGTCACAAGACCGCCACTCCATGTTCTTGACGGAGAGCTCGCGTCAAGGTTGCGGACTAAAGTCGGAGCGTTGCGCTTGTCTTGCGCATCCCAATGTAAGTCGGACGAATGTCAGCCTTACCCAACATACGTAAGTAAGAGTTGTTCTTTGTCTACAGCTGATCACGAAGCAGTTTGTACCACTGTCGGGAACGTTCCTCTTCAACGCGATGGCATCCTCATCGGCTGTGCTAAACCTTTAACGATCGTCGACGCACCCCTGTTTGGCGAGACACCACGGGAATCTAAGGTAGGCCCAGGAATCGAAGCTATTGCTCAAGCGTCTTGGAAGCTACGTGTCAGGTGATGAGTTTCCTGCGTTTCATGAGCTTGCAATGGAGGAGCTGCTTATCAGCCACGGCCATGTTTGAGATGTTCAGGCTTGTCACCAGTCCACTTTCCTGCTTTGGTCTTCTGCGAACCATCTGTGGCAGTCTCTCTTGATGTCGAACTCGTCACTCGATTTCCGTAATCTGAATCTTGCTCGTTACAGACAGGAAGATCGTGATTGATTCTCATGAGGAATTCATTTTCTATTTGCAGAGAAATGCACTGAACTTTATGCTTGGGAGGAAGCGGAACGTGGCTTGTGTAAGCCATGAAAATGAACGTGATAGCCTGGAGATGTCAGATGCATCCTTACGGTCCCACCTAAGCGAAGTCTTTCCTGGAAGGCGCCGAGATTAAAACGTTGCCGGTGGTCCTTCATGCGGATGTGCGATTCCCCGTGCACGTGAAATCTTTCGATCGTGGCGTTGCTAGTCCACATGGCGGCAAGTGCAGTACATCCATGCGCAATTTGATAATTGTCTCAACGGCCCAGACTCTTATAAACGATCTTACCTGCGCACCATGTACCCGTTCACAAGATATGCACGATCCTTTGCATGCGTGACCATGTGAGAATTGATCGACCGCATGACGGAACAAAGCTCTAAACATATGTACGATCAATCATCAGACAGCTTTGAATATTTGGAAAGGTGCGAGCTGCACGCCATGGCGTGCATGTTACCTAGATGCATGACATGCGCTGCGCAATAGCCAGCTCCGAAAGTAATGCATTCCGGATGAGGAGTTTCCATGCATGCATGCAGATCTTGGAGTTGTGCGTGCAGTTGCAGTCGTCCTACAAACCACTGAGCCTTAATTGGTCGGTGAGTCCGTCGGATTGATTAGCCTGGCCGGCCATGCCGACGAGATTTTCAATACAATGTTGAAGCGAATAATTCTGGATCCGGGGCCCCCAATTCAGCGCCTGACCAAACATCTCCTGCACGCAATGTTCTCATGCAACCCTCATGTACGAAATAATCTGCAAACTTCTAGACAACCTTGTGGTTGCTTCACAACTTGTGCTTCTATGCGAGACCAAATGACGCCTCAACGTGGACGGGTACGAAAACCTATGACTTCAGAGGCCCGTATCATATGTCCAATTTATAATCCATGGTGCACTCGTTATGCAAAGGCGAAGGCTCGAACGGGCATCCTGGCTCCAGCAACAAACGAGCGCGCCTGCAAGAGAAACGCAGCAGAAATCAGCGCACCACCCTGCGTGACCAGACGAAAGAAGTTGTCCGAGTCGCAAATATTCCGGCCACAAAAGTGAAGTTAAGCAGCTGAAATCCGCAAACAAAGTGGTGGCTTGTGCTCGTTCATTTTTCAACGGTTCCGAATGAAACATTTCGGTCGGACTCATTAAGATTAAGCGCCATGAAGGTATATACCGAAGCCCAGGGACGGGTGGGAATAGCCAGGGAGTTAAGCTATCAAAGGGTGCGGAGCATCGTTAAATCCGAGTTCAGCTTTTGGGGTAAGTGTCGCTGCTACTCCTCATGGCAATAATCTTTCGAAGACTTGAGAGTTACATGGCTCACCAACTGAGGCGCGGTCCCGGCAGCAACAACCACCGCCGGCACGAACCGGGCCACCCTAGGAGCGGACGTTCGGACCGCCGCCCTAGGAACAACCCCCGTCCGAACACCGTGGGCAACATCCGAAGCCGTTTGGAAAGCGGCTCCACCCAGAGATGACCTCGCCCAGGCTGGGGAGACAGGGGCCGAACGGAGCGGGGCCCGCGGGAGCGTCGCAGGGGCGACCACGTGGGCCGTGACCTTGGCTGACACGACGCCGCAGTCGGCAATCATGACGTCCTGAAAGCAAGGGACGGTGTGCTAAGCGGGCAACAGATTGGACACAGAGATGGGAGCTGACGGCCGTGACGAGCTGACACGATCCGAGATGTAAAGATATCTTGCAAAGTTTGCCCTACTTGATGCGGAGGCGGGTCAACTTAATCACCCACATACTACTGGCGAGTGGGGGCGGCAAACAGCGGCTGTGCCGTGATCGAGCGCTTCGAGATTCAACGTGGAAAACAAGAAGTGGTGATCTGGGTCCTTGCAAAGGCTTCATTTCAAGACCAAGAAAGCAGACCTTTTGGTAGACACAGAGGGAAAAATAGGGAATAGGATAGATTGTGCATCAAGTGACGGATGCACTTCGTTGCCCGTGCTCTGGAGCAGGCATGAGTGCGATGGTCTTGTAAAACGGACCGGCCTTGAGGAACTTTTTCGGCAACTGTGTCCGATACGACCATATTCGGCCAGAGGCTGACGTCGTCCAAAGATTCAGAGGGCGCGAGGATCCGCAAACCCTTTGACCCCACATAAAAGAAGCCGTGACAACAATGATTCCGCAAAAGGTCCTACCTCGGACGTCTCCCCGCTCTGGCTCCCAATGGCCTCGATCGCCTTCACGACTTCGTAGCCCTGCGCGTTACAGATTCGAGTTGAAAATCAAGACCATGACACTCCAAAACGTAGCAGAACTAGAACCTCTGTGGATCTTCAGGGGATCACCAACTTAAGAGTATACCTGCAAATCTAGGCCCTCATTCCTTCTTGTAAAAATGAATCGCAGACCTTTCGTTTTCACCTCCTTGAAACGAGGAGACTAAGGGCAGCGAATACAGGTGCCCCGACTCGTCAGCACGGCCTTTCACGTGCTTTGCTCTCAAAAATGGGGGCCGCTTGGATGCCACGTGTCTGATGACGAACACCAAAGCCCCATGAAGACTAGATCTCGCTCTTGCTCGTAACAGTTTATAAGTGATCCGTCACTACTTGAGAATTACGAGCATTAAATGAAAGCGTCGTCTGCTGGAACAACCCTCAGAGCGATGCGAGGCAGGTTCCTTACCTCAATGACCTGCCCGAAGACGACGTGCTTTCCGTCCAACCTGCAATGTTAGGAGAGAGTGTCGAATGACCATGAGAACCGGTCCTGAGACATACTTCATAGCGGGTGCCGAAGTGGCCAAAACTCTGACTGCTCATGACTACATGAATCTGCACATGGCTGCAAATGGGAGATGGGCTGCCTCAAAGAGCAGTCGGAGAGTGCGGGAAACGACTTTTGGCCACTACAGGAAGCCCCACTCGTCAATGGTGCATGTCAATTACTTCAGGCTTTGAACGATGCTTACCAAGGCGTCGAGGCAACGCAGAGGAAGAACTGCGCAGTCAGAAAAACAGTTTAGAAACGAAAGTTGTGCGTTTTTCTCAATACAATCCGACAAGGCAGCGGCGAGAGGTCAGAAACAGCCTCCCCATGCCCTTGTTAAACTTTTTAACCATTCGACGGCCTATCTTAGAGCTTATTCTACCTTGCTTCTCTCAAATTAAACCGGGCCTGCTTCTCTGCTACAAGCCTGTGCTTTTCCAGAGCTTCCGACGCTCTGTTGCATGACTTTGACCAAACAGATTCAGATAAATAATTTGCAGTGAGAATGATCAAACTTGCCACGCAACTCGGACCATAGCTTCGATTCCAATTGACCAATTGCTGTACTTTTTATAATGGTGCAAACAGGCTTACCTGGGACCCATTGGTGTCAGGTCCAGCATTCGCCATAGACAGAACACCTGCACAAGGAGCCGCAGAACTGTGTTTCTTAAGAGAGGTTATACTAAGCTAATGTAGTAATGAGCATTCAAGTAACACTGCAACGTAAATCCGGAAAGTAACCTGCGCCGCACACTACCCACACCCTGAAATCCAAACGAACCATGAGTGTCCCAGTAAGATGACTATACCATGAACTTTAGGATAATGTCATCACAGGACTGCTGAGCAACAACAGGCAGAAAGTCAATTGCAAGACAGGAGGACAGGTGTGAACTTGCACCGCTGAGGCAAATACGAAACCTGCAAATGCATGCCGAATCTGCCGCAACAACAGCTATGACCTCCACCTGGACCATGCGAGTCAAGTGTCAAAATGGCTCTGGACCCAAATCTGCTGAGGCGAGGCTGATCTGCATGAAAGAAGACTCGTCAACAAGTGAACTGGTGCAGATAAACTGACAGGAGACAAGAAAAAAACCGTACCTGGCCCGGTGTGCTTCAGAGAAAAGTCCTCGTCCGGGAAGCTGTCGCCATAGATGGAGCGACCGCCCGTTCCATTGTCATCCGTGAAGTCCCCACCTGAAAAGGATAAGACACATTCTTGACATTAATTAAACTTATTCTGTCAGCCATCTCGTGGTAAGTCAAGTTTGTCCATCATAAGGTTACTCCGCAAGAATCATTGCAGTTTCCAAAGGGACTTCTTACATTCATCAAATTGCTGGAGATGCAGAAAAATACACAATCTGGGATTAGTCAGGGTACATGTGCGTCCACCTTCCACCAAGAACCTCTTACCTTGGCACATAAAGCCGGGGATAATGCGGTGGAACCTTGATTCCTTGAAACCCTGACCCGCCGGCTGCTGGCACAGCTGGAGGAAATTCTCCGCAGTCTTGGGGACGACGTCCTTCTTCAACTGCAAGGAAGCGAGACCAGTAGAATCAAAATGTCCCCTAAATTGGTGATAGAGAAGGGGCGTCTCCAAACAGACAGGTAAATATTCACTGGCCTTTGTGAGGATACATAAATGAGAGGCTTCCTTACGCGCAGTGGGTGATACACTTGATGAGGAAACAGAAACCTAGACACTTGACACAGCAGAGCTGGCTCTCTTCAGAAGAGGACTTTTGAACATGTTGTGCACCAAAAAGCTCGTCACTATAGAAGGTGGTGGTAATGACAATCCGATTGCTGAGTGTCTTCATCACTTAGATTGAGATTAGGCCATGCACTTTCCGGCCAGCCCAAACATAAATCCCCTTCACAAGTTTGACATAAGATATCAACCCCTTTCAAAATGCCTCGAAAATCAAGCTTTGGCCATATATAAGATTGTAATAACAAGAACAGCTCAGCGCCACAGCATTGCACGAATACACGTGGTCGCCAATTTCCTTACCTCAATAACGATCCGTCCAAGTTGCTTCCCGTCTCCACGTCCCAGCTTGACATCCAAGAACACAACAGGGTTCTCGGGGTTTGGCTGGCCCAACGGCGGCTGGTAGTCTACAGACTTCCTGTCTACCGGTGCGTTGTCCGCAGCCCCCGTGAAGGCATCAGTCTTCATGCCGTCCAGCTTGAACTCATTGCTGTTTCTCTCGCTGAAATTAGCCCTAGCCCTCAGAGTGCCTGACGACATGTTCTCCCCCGGGTTGGACCGCCCCGTGACCACCAGCCAATTCTGCGCCTCCATGTAATTGGTTGGGGCGAGGCTCAACGCCTGCTTCCAGTACTCGGCCGCCTGGTCAAAGAGTGACTCCGCTTGCTCGGGCTCGCCCTGCTCAATTGCCTGCTCGCCCCTGTAGTGGCAAATCACTGCAATGTTGTTCAGCGCCTGCGGCAGTGCAGGGTTTCGCTCCAGCGCCTGGTAGTAGTACTCAAGCGCCCTCGTGTGCTCGCCGTTGCTGGTGTGAATGAGCCCGATGTTGTACAGGATGTAGCTGCGGTCATAGGGATCGACTTCTAGGCGCATCGCCTCGTAGTAATTCTGCAGGGCCTCTGCATACTCGCCCTCAGCCTGCGCAGACATGCCGTCCCTGTAGTACGCAAATGCCTCCTTCTCGCGGGAGCTCGTCGGCATTGTGCGCAACAGGATGTCCGCGATAATGGTGAACGTCTTGTCAATGAAGTTGTCATTTTTCTGAGAGCGAGGCATGGCTGCTGGATAGTACCTGCGCACAGAAAGGAGCCGTTGTGCAGTTCTTGGCTCCTAAAAAGCGTCACAAGATGCGTCCTGCAAGGGGTTTCTTTCAGTTGCAAATGCTGCAACCTGCAACTTCAAGTTTTCATGGGCCTAGCCAGGAAAGGATCTGGCTCAACATTGCATTCATCGGAAACGTCCAAGAAGGAAAATTTCTATCGGACGGTTTCTGTTTGCAGGGATAATCGGCCAACGACGTTCGGAGGGCATCGACGGTTGCAACGAACACACGTCGGACAGATATCTATCAAATATCTTCACTTCTAAGATATCTGAACTTTGAAGCCATGACGCTTTTGGGACGCTTTTACTCGCATACCATATAGAATAGCCATTCGACATCTACAAATCTGACCATGCAAGATCCAATATGAAGAACGTGTTCCCTCAAGTTTATTGACTCCGGTGAAGTAGTTTGGTGATGCAGATTTAACGACTGCCATCTGGTCAACGTGCATGGTGATTACTGCCACGAGCTTCTCATAGAGCGTGCATAAAAATAATGCAACAACCAACTCGTCGTTGGCATCTCCCTGTTATACCACGGCGCATACAGACTTGACTTATATTGATGTTTAACATGGCAACATGCTACAATGAAAGGCAGGAGACACAGGTCTTGGAGACACACATCGAACACATAGAGGATCTGAGAATGCTATTGTGTTATCAGCGCTGCCGCAAGTCGATCAAAATTGACGAATTGATTTCAGATAACCAACTCAACGCGGGTCGTTAGAAACCCTGTTTTACTAAGTCTATGGTTGCCTCACAACTGATTGCATCTGACAAAATTGTGCCTTGCACCATGGTCAACCTGCGAAGGTCAATGACCTGATGGGCATTCTTACATTGGCGACCACTGTGCTCGTCTGCACAAGGAGAGGAAGAGAGGGCATTTCAGCACCGCTAGGACATCTGGTGACCTAAGATCCAAGTCAGGGTCGCAAAGTTTGCGACGCCGTAAGAGTGCAACAGAGCGACAAATGTGAGCCGACGCCGTAAAGTGCACGTGACAGTCTCAAAGACGCACGGGTTCGTGGTCGGCCATTTGTCTCGGCAGGATGTTTGGAACGGGAAAATGTGGGCTGACGTAGACATGGCGCAGAAGACTGGCCCCGTTCTCAAGAACTATCGAACCGCAATTCGTAGGCACGGAGCACTTTACGCACTTGGCACCGGCACATTACGCTCACAGAACCCATGGAAAGGACGACGTAGATCGCGAGTGGCCGAGCTGAACCCGCCTCTGCTTATTATAGGCGGAACGAGGGCAAACTCGTAAGTTACGGTCGAAGTCGATTGTTGATGCGGGGAGCACTGGAAGGAGCCGGGGTCCAGGCCGGCAACTCTAAGTCACAAAGTCCTTCCGCAGGATACTCAGCATCGCAGCGATCGTCGGGATCGTTGTCGGATGCAACAAGTCACAGACAACCCGTATAAACCCACGTCCAGCGGGTCAATCTGAACCACCCAAACTGTTCTGGAAAGGAGGCTCACCATGTTGTTTGTCCCCCTCGATGCCACCGTTCCGACCGGCATGAACCGAGCTGTTCCCGGAGCGTTTTGGCGGACAGTCTGGATCGTGTGCGTGCGAACGGGCGCACATTTGCCCCGCCTGGCAACGTCAGCCGCTGCCGCTGAAGCTGCTCCGCTCAGGCTATGCTTCGCCCAAGTGGGGGCCGCGGATCTAACCGGGGCTGCCACTCTGGGGGCGACGGCCGACGACGCGCGCGCAGTTGTGGCGGAAACGACACCGCAGTCGGCAATCATGATGTCCTGTTGTTCAGAAGGTAAGGCTTTTCAGTGGTTAGAGAGTGTGGGAGGAGTAGAGAAGCTATGTACGCTTACTTACGAAGGCCCACGGATCGATGAGTTGCGGCTTTGCAGGGGCAATGACCTACACCGAGCTCTCCTGCTGAACACTAATTCCGGAATCGTCAATGGATACGAAATCCAAACGGTTCAAGAATGTCAGTCAAACGTAGCGCTCAGATGCTTCGAGTTGGAATATCAAACGTCGCGCTGCATCCTAGGCACTTGTTTCTACATCGTTTGCCAGGTCCGGCTGCACGTGCCACCAAAGCTGAAAGATCAAAGCGCCGAAAGAGTGGGCTTCTTTTCTGCAGATCTCTTCAAATACTTGTCGGTCCAAGTTCTGTCGTATTATTTCCGCTCTGCAGCTTGTCAATACGTAACAGGCTTCACATCGAATCTCAGTAGAAAGGTCGAGAAGAATTGGTGATTGCTTTAAGCCAACCCAACTGTTCTCCCTCAAACCAGGCGTCCGTTCGACCTAGCAGCAAGAGCAGCTAGAACGTACCTCGGACGTGTCCCCGCTCCTACTGCCGAGAGCCTCGATTGCCTTCACGACGTTGTAACCCTGCAGTGGTGGTCACAGCAGCGTGAACAAGAGACAGTTCCGAAGACGAAATGATCCATAAGGCGTCAACACAGGCTCCAGTCCGTATTACGCCTTGATCCTTCGTAAGCTCATCTCTTTCAGGGAAAAAAAGAATTACGCAAGCGCTCTAAAATCTAGAAGAGCCGTTCGCGACACCGTGTTTGTCTGTCTGCTGCAATTGAAAGGTACGAATGTTTGCCGTCATGAAAATCCTTCTGCGTCTCTTGGACTTCTCACACTACATGGACAACTTCTTTTGGCCGACTTTGGCACTCTGTAAGAGACAACAAGAGCCCGAAAGCGGTTGTGCTTACGTCCACGACCTGTCCAAAGACCACGTGCTTGTTGTCCAACCTGTAGCATGAGCACTTGGTTAGTTTCGTGGCCAATCATGCACGCCCAGATCTTGATGTTAGCATCAGACGCAGGACACAAGCTTGAGAGAGTTCAATTGGTGCGAAAAATTCGTCAAATGGAACCTCATTCAAGAAACATGAGGAGAAACCAACTTCAAGTGGCACATGCTCTTTCAAGCGCATCTGGCGCCAAGCAATTAGAATCAACGGGCAAGACTTAGACAGAAGCCTTACCAAGGTGTAGCAGCAACACAGAGGAAAAACTGTGCAACGAGAGACAGAAACAAGCTTAGTCGAGTACTCCGAACAAGAGAACAAAGCTGACAGCTCGAAGCGGAGGCTCAACATTGTGAAATTGCTAATATACTGCCTCTGCTTTCTTCTTTGATGAGCAGAAAACCCTGAGAACCTACTGTAGCACGAAGATCTTTAATCCATTGCGAAGATATCCGGTTCTTTGCAAAACGAAAGATGACAACACGATATGCTGACGTAGCACAGCTAAGTGAGGGCAACAGCTTTCCACGGCTTTTGCACAGCCGGTAAAAGCATACGACATTCTTAAAAATTGTCTTTGCTGACGAAACAAATCTTCACTGGAACAATCCTTGGCGCTTTACCTGCGATCCATTGGTGTTTGGGCCAGCGTTTGCCATGGAAAGGATGCCTGCAAGGGAAAAAGTGTGGATCAAGAACGCCAATTCGTCGAATACTCCGTTCTGACGATGGGAATAACTATCCATAAAAATAATCCGAGCCTGCAAGCATTTCTCACCGGTTGAGCTGAAAGAGATCTATGGAAGAGGTTCTATGCCCGGCGGTCAAGATGCTGCTCGGTCAGATATTGCAATCTTGCGAGATTACCAAAGCTGACCTCTCACCAGGTCCAACGTGCCTGAGGATGAAGTTCTCATCAGGGAACTTGTTCCCATAGATGGAGCGGCCCCCAGTGCCGTTGTCGTTGGTGAAGTCACCACCTGCAGCAATGACATCTTGTTGCTAACATGTCTCCTTATGGGCGACAAAAGCGAGGACTCAACGAAGAGCATTGCTTCTCGCCAGTCAACTTAAGGTCGCAGACTCCAGGCGACTCATGCATCAAAGGGTAGAGACTAAGGGGGTACAGGTTTCCATGCAGAATGAGAGGATTCCTAAGGCCGGGGACAAGAAAATTATGAGGAAGGACATCAATGACTAACGCAAGTGGTTTTCGATCTGACCTGGCGTTGAGAACCGTGAGAAAGATGGCTTACCTTGGCACATGAAGGTGGGGATAACGCGGTGAAACCTTGAGTTCTTGAAACCCTGCCCCTCAGGCCGCTGGCAAAGCTGGAGGAAGTTCTCCGCCGTCTCAGGCACAACGTCCGCCTTCAACTGCATCAAGGATGGTGCAAGCTTTGAGATTTCGTTCCGCCTTGGAATGTGGAGCAGTAGTACATAGATTGAAACTTCACTTGCATGGAAATCTTGTTAAGGTTCAAACTGCGCATACATATTTGATTGGGAATGCCCAGCCGGGGTGACTATGACAACATGGAGAAGGTGGCTAGTTCCTAGTGCTATTCTTCCACCCTGGTACCCGAAGTCAATCCTCCAATATGATCAGCCTAGAAACATGACCAGAGGAAGTCAGACTCAACAACCAGTGCTAACTCCAACTTCTTCCTGTTCTACTTCTTCGCAGATCACCACCTGAACACCAGAAGGAACTAGGGCCAACATGCAAAGCAGAACCCCCTCGAAGATGATATTGTGGCGCCACATTGCTCCATGTGAAAGCGGGGCCCTTAAATCCCATGTACTTGTGGATTCGAGGTGCGGTGCACTCTTTACATTTGTCTAGCTTTTTGTCTAGCTTCGACGGTGCTACCTTGAAGGAAGTGGGCAAATGATCATTAATCAGAGGACTCGATCAGTACATCCACCATCATGAGCACTAGCATCCATTGCTGATTGGAAGCGCACATGCATCACATTCAATCGACGCCACTGCCTGACACAAGAGCTGAAGGAGGAATGTGGGGCCGCCAGAGATACATGACCATTTGCTCCAATTGAATTGCACCCATTCTGTTCTTCGCCCAGATATACGCAAGCAGGAACACACCTCCATCACAATGCGGCCCAGCGGCTTGGCATCGCCATAGCGCCCCAGCTTGATGTCAAAGTAGACCAAAGGGTTGTCAGCACTAGGGGGCCCCATTGGAGGTCGAAAGTCAACGGAGGAGTTGACTACCGCCATTGCATCGACCTTGCTTCCGCCTCCACCCATGCTTACAGCTTTTTGCCTCTGCGCAATGTGACGCCGCCACTTCACGCCGCCCTCGCCTCGAGAGATGCACTTACGCAAAACCCTTTCCTTGTACCCTTTAGCTCTAGCTCTTCTTTTGCAGCGCCCCTGCAATGGTTGCTTTGCTGCTGCCTTTTCTCGTCCCGACTCTGTCTCATGGATCTTCAGGAGATCCTTTCTTGCAGACACATTTCAACTGCCCGGATATCCAAGTACATCGACGCCTTGCGATCTCCCACGTCACATTCTATCCACTTTTGACGGTCGGATCGGATCCTCGGAGCCTGAATAAGACTGAATATAAGTTGCATTGAAGGATAAATCAATGTCCCATCAACATTCGCCACATTCACAGTCCCAGCATTGCTCACCCAGACAGCCTGAGCTCCACCAATCCATCATGGCTTCCTCCGCCGTTGCTTCCGCCACCCGTGCAACCTCCTCCTTCTCAGCAACGTCTTCCTCTTCCCTCCAAAATACGCAGGCAACCACCTTCGCTATCGCCCCGGCATTCGCTCGCACTCGTCCCCACCGCCGGTCCCCTGCATTGTCATCACCAACCAGCAGACAGAATGTGCAGGGATCGCACTTTTCCATTGCCCCTGGGTGCGATCAACTGAGGAGACAGACCACCAGGTTCCAATGCAGGGTGGCTCGGCAGAGTACGGGTCCTGTAATCAGAGCGGTGAGCGCACCTATGTGGTGGCACTAACATCACTGTGCATAGGCGGCGTCTGTTGGTGGTGGACTCTAGGTCGCGATTAACCTCAATCAGCAATGCACGTATGTGTACCGGTCTTCAATATGTGTCTTTTGCTGGACACATCGATTCCTCTGCTGAGGCAGACAAAATATGCCACCCCATCAGGCATTTGACTTCCACATGTACTGATGACTTGACAAACACAATGTTGGAAGATTACGGGGATCTAATCCAATCAGAAGGAGTACCTCATGGATTCCAGTCTAGAAAAGTACTTCTGGCTTTTCAAATACCAGTCGTCTGATCTTTTCACTTCCATCTCGCAGGAGCGCTCCTATGTGATGATCAAGTGAGTCAACTAGCTGAACTTGGCTATCGCTCTCGTTCTGCGTCTCATGAGTCACTCTTTTCACTTTCCTTTGCTTTTTCGAGTAGCTGTTGCCTTTGTGGTCTGCTGTCTCTTACTAGGTTTGATCAGGTGGTAATATCAACAATACTTTATTGCACACAGTGATCGTTCTTGGCTGCCAGACTTACAACTTACAACGGTCAGGTTGAGGATCTGCATACAGCACTCATAGTGCTTTCATGACAGGCCTGACGGTGTACAGAGGGGCCTTGTTGGGGAAATCATCACCCGTTTTGAGAGGAAAGGCTTCCAGCTGAAAGGACTGAAGCTCTTCCAAACACCAGAGGATCTTGCAAAGGTGGGACCAAGTTCTTATACAGTGTCCTCAGCTACTTACCGTTTGCCTGTAATAGTCCTTGTGGAGTCATGCTTTGCAGCCAGTATACATCTCGCTCTCTTTGAAAGGCGTGCAGGCGTTGTATCAAACAACCTGTCAGTAGTTAGTTGGCCTATCAAAGTAGACTATGGTTGGTTCTTTGCAAGAGTTAACAGGAAGAACATTCGCCCGTGAGTGGTGTTTGGAGAAGGTACAAGAATGAATAGGCGTCGGGTGGCCCAAGGTCTGACCAAGTACAGAAGTCCCAAACACCGGCAAACAGTTACAAAGTAAGGCAACCTAGCATGAAAGGTTTTATGTTGCACCAAAAAAGAGGCCTACCATTAAGATAGCCAGCTCTCAACAAGAGAATCGCATGTGATGATTGCGCAGGAGCACTACAAGGACCTCGCTTCAAAGCCTTTCTATGGAAAGCTAGTGGACTACATCATCTCAGGCCCTGTGGTAGCCATGATTTGGGAGGGGGACGGCGTGGTCGCGTCAGCCAGGAAGCTCATTGGTGCAACCAACCCGCTCGCAGCTGAGCCAGGGACTATCCGCGGCGACTTTGCCGTTGAAGTTGGAAGGTGAGTAGCAAACTCAACTCTTGTATGTTAGCAGTGATGTCGACTTTGCTTCTGATAGATGGATGGCATCGCAAAGCGAGTTCACGGAGCACTGAATACAATTCTTCATGGTGAAGCGGTGAGGTGTCGGACTTCGAGTCCATCTCAAGCACCCTTGCAACATGGTTTTCAGATCAGGGTGCCAGGGGACAATTGAATGCATCCCGACTCAGATACGTATGCGCTGTGTCAGGTCCTTTGGGCGGCTGCAGAAGGGAAACTACGCGACCTCAAATCCACACAGCGCTCTAAAACAGCTGAACCGGTTTTGTAGAAGCAGGCCTCTAAGCAGACCACTTTCATTTGTGCAGGAATGTGGTCCATGGAAGTGACAGCCCTGAGAATGGGGAGCGTGAGATTGGTAAGCTCATCTTCACCGGTCATCTTCGATGAATCTGCTTTCAAACTGAAGGTGGTTCCAAGCCTTGCTTTGAATATGACGACTCCCCGTCGATTGACCTTGTTTTGCAGTGGGGTCCTCTTTCTGAGCTGCCAGCTCGGAAATGCTTTCAGCACGAGATTGTTGGTGACCGGATAGATGCTATTGACCGAGTCGAGATGCACTCACTTGCTAGTGTTCACACCCCAGTGATGAGTTCCCTATCTCTCCATCTCCAACAGGTCTGTGGTTCGAGGAGACTGAGGTGGTGGAATGGACCAGGGATATGACCCCTTGGCTGAAGGAGTAACCTTCAAGGTGAAGAGTTTTGCAATGAGACAAGCACAAGGAACTCACCCAGGTAATGGTATGAGGTGCGACGGTGAGCCGGCCTGTGTTGTGACTGCGATGGTGACGAAATACTGAGGGTAAACCTGTGTTCGTGCGCGAAATTTTGAATGTCTACCGATTAATCGACGTCTTCTTTTCGCTTGTTTGTTGTACTAAATAAAACTGCGACTCAGTGCATCATGCACTGCACTGATTGCGGTTGTAAGCAGACAGTCGGACCCATTTAAACCTAAGAATACAGAACCTCTGATTGCGCAATGATGCACCGCGAATGTTGGCCATCACAGCTAGTGATCCATGTGAGCATTGTATCACAGCCTGCATGATCTAGACGGAACGATCCAACGGTCCATATGGCAGTGCATGGGCGCCATATGTAATTCAAGTAGCTCGTGCCCGACGAGTCAATTGCAAATGGTGGTGTGCTGCAGCCCTTGGACCCGAAAATGTATGTGCTGCAACTAGTTCTTAATGCAGCTTCTGATCCGTTTGGTGCGGCTTGCTTACATTGCAAAGACGGTATAAGATTGCTCAGTTTACATGAGATCGGGTCTGAGCATGATTCGATGAAGCCTCCCGTGATCTGCATCCGATCGCAAAACGTCTATGCCTAATACGTATGACCATGTACAACTCCGATACGTTTTTCCCCTTGGAATATGACGAAAAGATCCCCTAAGCTTTGAAGTTTGGGCCCGGCCGGGGGGCATGGAAGTTCTTTAACGGTCTGACGTTTTGCATGCCTCATGTTGTGAGTTTGTTCTCTACCCTACCTAGCTGAGCTATCCGACCGGGCAAAGCCTATCCGAGATAACCGAAACGGACTCTGCGCCGCGGCGGTGCATTTTAAAATTATCATAGCTAGATGAAGCCACGGACAGCTACCGTTGACACGTACAAAAGATCTTGGATAGGCTTTGCCCGGTCACGTAGGTTGATAGGGTAGTGTGTCAATCTTAGAGCTGGCATACTTTTACGAACTCCGAAACATTGTGTGCCATGAATAGCCTATGGCCTATTTGGCTACGGCGTATTTGAAAAGAGACCGTCGCGTTTGGCCGGACTGGCTGTGCTTTGGTAAATGTTTGTGAGTCACTATTTCTATGAACTGCACATCACGGGCAGGCATTATTCTAGAACGTTACAACAAGAAAGTGCATGGTTTCAACTAGTCACTGAGGAGAGGTTGACAAAGACTAGATCATCAGAGGTTGCACTCAGGTCACTAGTCAAAACAGCAGCCATCATAAGACGTCAATTAGATCGACGGGGATTTAACGACCATGGCTGCGAACTTGAGCTCCTTCGCATGCATGTTAAGTCGACTGACATACTTGGCGACTCAAGTTGGGCTGAGGACAGCCAGCCTTGTCAACAAACGGTCTAGCGATCAAACGGGGGCGAGAAAATGACTCTCAGGCACAAGGCAACGGTGGGCAAATACCCCGCAATCAACCACGGCATTGCTATGGAACTCGAGCTTTTAACCCTTTGGACGAGGGTGCCGACGCTAGGTCCCTGTTCTTGCTCCCAACCCAACACAAAGAAGGGCCCAACGGAAGCCAAAGTTGCCCCCAAGAGGAGAACCACTTGCTTCAAAATTGTTTTACGAGAGGACCTCTCGTCGCCTGTCCGCCGGCGCCCCAGCTTTCGCTTGGCCCAATCTTTCGCCGCCCTTCGTCTGTCCAGGACCCACAGAACTGCCCCTTTCACCGTTGCTTTTAGCCTTCCCGCCCGAGACCCCGCCCTTGCTTCCTGCCTCCGTCGCCGCTCCTCTGCAAAGTTCGCACGCACTTGCTCGCAGAGAGCAATCATGCTGGGCGACCGGTCTTCCGACCGAGACTCGGAACCTACTTTTTCCCGGACATCCGAGCTTTCAATACCCTCCACTTGGTCGCGATTCAATGACCCTCGCTCACTTTCCGCGGACTCTCCAGAACCTGTAACTTTACGCAAATCTTGCTTCTCATCTTCTTGCCCTTCTGTCGAGGCTACGGGGGCCGAGTCGTCCAATTTCTGCAACACTTCGACTTTGTTGACGTTCAACAGCCGGACCGGCCGTGCTAACAAGCAGATGGGGACCAGAAAGACCGCCGACAAGAGAGCGAGCGCGTAGTCAAGGTTCACCAGCGCCCCGAGCGCCAGACCCGCAACCGCAAGAGTCGCACTTTTCAATGCAACCCAGTCCGCCTTTCTGAAACGCGCTCCCGTTCTCCCCTCCTCTCGAATATCGTGTTGCACACTCCCGCCCATTATCACCCCAGCCTTGTCAGACGCAGCACCAGTAAACGAGAGCGAAGAGGTTTCTGCGCCGACAGGGACCGCGAGCACTGCTGATGTCAGCAGCGGAAGTGCGGCGACGGCCCACACTGCGACGCTCGTCGCGTCGGCGGCGGTTCCCAGCCGCTGCGAGGCAGCCGTTCCGAGGTCAAGCAGCAGGGGGGTGATCTGCCACAGAAAAGCTCCCCCCAGGTATGCGGTGACAACGGTTGCCGCTGCTCCTGTCCAGTTGGCGGGAAGGAGGCATAAGCTACTCGGCAGGGCTTCCTCCGCCGAGCCCACCCTATTTTGATTCGCGGGCTTCTTGCTACTTAACTTGACAGGATATGCACAGCCCGACATCTCCCCAGATACGCTCTTCTCCGGCGCATATCTCTGAGACTTGGTGACGTCATTAGTTCGCCGGACGTTCTCTGTTGTCCGCTCACCGCTCGCAACTTTCTCCGCAAACTCTCCCGTCCCCTTGCCCGACCCCGACTTCTTGCCAGCTTCGAACATCGTTTTCTGGCCCGCGCTTTCACCTTGTCCTTGTAAGCAGGGCACCAAAAACCCCTTGGCGGCCAGCGCGGCGGCAGTGAGCGGCAATGTTGCAAGGAGGAGCGCGAAGGGGATCATGTACTCGCCGATGGAGACGAAGCGAGTGGGCGAGGCGAGGACGTAGAGGAAGAAGGAGTGGTGGAAGCGCTCGAGCAGGTTGTTGAGGCAGCGGAGGAAGGACTCAAGCAGCCTGAATAGGTTAAGGGAGAGAAATTCAAAAAGAGAGTAAAAACAACGAGTCCCAAAAAGCTGGGTGAGTGGTTGAACAGTTTGCCGAGGGCGGTAAAGAAGGTGGCTCGAGCAGTTCAATGAGGCAGCGGAGGAAGAACTCGAGTAGCCTAGACGAGTCAGGCAAACAGATTAAACATTGAAAAACCGAAGTAGTAAAAGAATGATGACAAAGGTAGGCAAGCGGATGAGCAGCTTGGTTAGGCAGCGAAGGAGTGGCTCGAGCAGCCTAAGAAGGAGAGGTGGACGTCAAGGTCACGGACCAGAAAATTGCTTTGAAAAGACACCGGCAAACTACGGATCAAATTGGACGAATACGCACTCATTCACACTCCTGGGTCTGGAAGATGGACCTGAAAGGCGTTGAAACGGCCAGCAAAGGTTGAGCGAGTCGAGGCGTATGGAGTTTAACAAAAGCAGCTGGTGAAAGGACAATGAGAAGATGATCGCCTCCTGACATGGCCAAAAGAGGTTCTGGACAAAAGAAACGTAATCCAAGCCTGTTGCAGAGCAACAACTCAACAGGTGAGGCGAAGCAGAATGGAGACATACCAAGCTTGGTATTTGTGAGAGCTGAGGAGTGCCGTAAATAAAGGGACCACAAATCGCTTAAAATGGCTCCTGACTCGCTCAAAAGAGAAGCAGTCGACCAAGAAGACCAGCGTAGGGGACAACGTGCCGAGGATCAAGCGAAGCCAGGCAAAACCAGCAATCTGACCTCACCTTGAGATCTTCAAAATGCTTCGCGCCTGGTCATGCCTCGCAGCAGCTGCCGCGGCCGCCGACACCTTTGCCGTCGGGTCGTGGTTGTCGCCGGTCGGCTTCGCCACGAGAGTCAGGGCGTCGATGGTGTACCGGCGGAACGCCCCATGCACTCCCGTCGACGCTCCAACGGCCTGCAAGGTAGTGACAAGAACGAGGTCACTTGGAGCTTCTGTCGACTCTTGTGTGTGTACAGAGGGTCTTGTGGACGGGAGTAGCTTGCTGGTGGGTTCGGATTTGACGAACTTCCTGGTGTTGTACATGCGAACCCCCCGTGCACTCCCGTCGACGCTCCGACGGCCTGCGAGGTAGTGACAAAAACAGCGTCACTCGGAGCTTATAATCAACCCTTGTTCGTATACAGAATGCCATGTAGCTTGCCGGTCGGTTCGGATATGGACGAATTTCCTCAGGTGTAGCGGCGGAACGTCCCGTGCACTCCCGTCGACGCCCCAACCGCCTGCAAGATAGTGACAAGAACAGCGTCACTCGGGGCTTATCATCGACCCGTGTGTGTGTACAGAAGGTTTTGTGAACGGGAGTTGCTTGCTGGTCGGTTTTGTTTTGAACGAAGCTCTTGATGACGTCTTGGCGGAACGCCCCGTACTCTCTCATCGCCGCGCCACGGCCTGCAAGGTAGAGACTAGAACAGGCGTTACTCGGAGCTTGGCAGTAACTCAAAGCGTGTATATCTGTCCGCAAGATTTTCCTGTCTCGCGTTTCGGACGCGCTTGCTCGTTCGTTCGATTTCGGGAGACCTTTTCTACACTGCCAGGGTTGACGGCGACATTAGTATGTCAATGACATCTGGCAACTACACTGTTACCTTCAAGATGGAAAAGGTATCGGGATGCACGTACATCTGGCACCGGTGGGCTTGCGAGTCGTTTGTCTTAGTGAGGCAAAACCAGCACAAAGCCGTGGCAGAATTTGTGCCACCTTCAGAGCTAAACAAATATCAATCGTCGCTCATCGAAGGGTGCTCAGGCACGTTCATTGTGTGCAGTGAAGAGTCTTTTAAAGAGAGTGGGGCTTCTATGTCCTTCTCAAAACAGAAAGTAAGGCATTCTATGCTTACGAATTTTCGCTCCAATTACAGAGAGCCACAAGTATTCATACCTGCCGGTGCATGCACGCCGCCAGCATCTCCAGGTGCCGCCCGTACTCCTGCCCGGACGTCCGTCCGATTTCGTCCGCTGCCCACCGCAGAAACGGCAGTAACGGCCCCAGGTATTTGCTCAGCCCCCACCACCGCGCCAGCTCGAAGCGCAAGCCCCAGTGCACCGGTTGATACCTGGTTAGAAGTAACACGACGACGGACTCTATCAGTGACAGGAAACTAGAGTGCGCTGAATTGTTTCCACGGAGCAATTTAAAGAAAAAGAGACCTGGCAGACTTTGCCAAGCAAACTGTGACTCGTTCTGATAGTTAGTACGGTCAGAGTGCGGCAGCTGCTTTGTCTTGGATTCCGCTGGGGGCTTCGAAGCCACAGTCGAGCAAAATACTGTTCCCAACGTTTGCAACCCAACGAAGTCTTTAGTGGACAAGAGTGGACAAGGATCTAATTTATTGTTTGACGGCTTCTCTTGAGCACTCTGCTGCTTCAGCAACCTCCCCCTCTTAACAATTGGAGAAGCAGTTGCCGAATTTCTCAGACGTGTCGAAGGTAGGTCGAAGAGAGGTGTTTGCCAGGGACTGGTCGAAAGGAGCGGCTCGCACACCTGTTGAGGAACGTTACGGTGCTGAACATGTCCATGTTTGGCATCTCGCCGTTCGGCCCCTCGCCCCGCAGCTCCACCAAGTCAAACGGCCCGGAACGGTACCCCGCATCGATCTCGAGCGCGACGGCAGCTTGGATTGCTCCCCCCCTGAGAAAGCGACCGGTGGAGTTTGCAGACGGGGAGTGGTAGTCTGCCAACCACTGGGAGAGGGCGTATTCTGCGCCTGCAAAGCCGAGAGAGAGCTGTAATGACCCTGTTAGCGTGAAAGTCTTGGGGAAAACCCTCATAAATACAGTCCGGTCCTCTGACTTCTCATGCAAGAGGTAGGTGTCCGTTGTTCCACCTGTACAACGATCATTGCTGTTAGGCCCAGATAAGATAGAGCGTTCTGACTTACTCATATCTTGACTTCAATAATCTTTACGCATTCAGATTCATGCGCTTCAGTAGAGTCTTGTGATAAACTTTGACAGAAATGGGAAGTGACTTCTGCTCGACTTGGTACCGAAGCGCTTTTCACCCACCATGCGCTCTTGTGCCGTTGTGCAGAAGATTATGCAGGCTTTAGTCGATGAATAGTTCAGGGCGTCTCAGACCAAAGCACTTGTGGAGGGTAGATATAGCGCATCATCTATGGTATCTCACCGTAGCGACTGTCCGGAAGCACCCAGATCACGTCCTTGGCTAGCCAGGGCACTGTCGTAAGATGGCGGAAGACGACATAGCTTATGGCCAGGGCAATAGCATCTGGCCCAGCCGCTGTGTCTTCCGCAGACATGGGGGTGACGAGGACCATGCACTCGTTGCCCTCTCCTCTCCAGGCTCTCGCTACCCCAACTATGTTGTGACCCGATTCTTTTGCCTGGGTAGCCGTCCGTGTAAGGGGTTCAGAAAACTGGAAAGGGGAGTTGTGAGGGAGGGGAGGAGTGGGAAAGGAGTGTGTGCAGGAGTCTACACCAAGAGCTGTGAGCCGTTGCACCACCCAGGAGTGGAGTGTCCTGCAAAGACACCAGAATGCAAGTTTGGGGACGAATCATCCTTCCATCAGGCCTCATCTTGAAGCAGTACCATCACAGCACTTTAAACTGCTCTAACAAACGTTTGCTGCCGGAAACTCTGGGGTACTCTCTTGCAAGTAAATTGGCACAGGTGCCCGCAGACAACAATCAATGACGTCGTAGCGCAAAATGGTGGTCATATGTATGATGATCAGAGTGTCTGAGGTGGGGTGCCAAAGCCTGACTCTCAAAATCTGATTTGTCAGCTGTTTCAGCATGGAAGCGAGGGCTGGCCTTGATTGCTAACGTGCTGATACTCACTGGGATGAGTTCTTTCTGATCTCCGCCACTAATTGCTGGACATCTTCGTACAAACCTCCAGGGGTTGCCATCCCTGTCCAGAAGACAAGGACAGAAACCATTTGTTTTTGCTCCTTCAAAGGACCTTTGACTTTTAACCATTCAGAAAGGTAGGTTGCTATCAGTCTATCATGGCCACATTGTAACCGGCAAATGGAAAAGCTTGCAGTGTTCTTTGTGACCTTTCAAATCGAACCTGCAGGTTATCATTTCATCTCTTGCACAAAATTGTGATCGAGCAAGAAAGGATCTGAGAAGTTGGCAAATGCCTAGAAGCAGGAGATTTTGGGTTTACCTGGACTGAGTGCATTTTCGTCCACGTAAGTCTCTTTGGCAATGGCAGGCAGAAGGAGGATTCCCACCACTCCGGCGCAATAGCACAAAGTGCTCACAAAAGTTGCGCGCTGGAGTAACAACATGGCAAGCCTTGGCAAGAGGCGCATCCGCTCTTGCTTCGACCCTGCCATCTTTGTTGGGGACTTAGAGGAAACAAAAACTCAAAGTTGCACGTTCCATATCCCAGGATGCGGGTTGGGACACACGATGCAGCTCCATTGAAGCCAGCTATCTCAGATTTGCACGCCACTTTGTTAGCCAAAACCGGATTTCAATGACACTTCACGTTGATGGAGCCATGGATCACATGTCGTGCTTTTCCTTTCTGCATGCTGATCACTACGTAGTTGCTCGTGGCCGCCTTGCAGCCGCCATGATGCTGCTCTCCTCCTGAGGCTGAAGCATGAAGCCTTAAAGGGGGATGGTCAGCCTCTAGACTAAAGCCTGAGGCTCTAGCTGCCCTGGAGTAGACAATAGCGTGTTACGCCCTGGTAATCTTCCTACCCCAGTGCTCCTCAACAGTCTTTAGTGCCGTCGATGCCCTCCAAATTACAACATCGAACGGCCGATAATTCGTTTCTGGTGTAACTTGCCCTGCCCGTTTCGTTCAAACTCGTAGATTGGAACGCCAGCCATTTTAGGGTTTCGCTCCAGCCTGATGTTTTACTGGCGCCTTCTTGAACTTGAACTTGAAGTTCTGTATCTTCGAGTCAGAGGCACGAGTGCTGGATTACATTCCTGACAACATTTGATAGATGTCAATTTGTGTTTTTCCATGGCGCATTTAATGGGAAGGAAATGTTCATTCGAATTAGTCTGCCAGAATGAAGCGACATCGAAGACAGTTGAGCAAGAGGAGCACGCAGTCATATCCCGGTTCACCTGATAGAGACGGGTTTGCCTCCGTTGCATGACTCCTGGCAAGATCAGGAGAAGCGCTGGGAGTTTTCAACGCCTTGCAATGGAGACAATCAGCACAGTCATCGAGTCTCTTCTGAAATACGGTGCACTAAGAGAGGGTCTCTTTCTCAAGGTCAAGGGTGGAGAAACTGTCACGGAGCTTCGAAGGAGACTGGTCTTAGAAGAGCAGGCAGCTTACGATTCACCACTCCTTAAAGATGATCCATACCTCACGGCCAGTTTGCTGATGCAACTCTTTCTGGCATTGGAGGAACCTTTGCTTCATGCAATTCACCAGCCTCTCACAAGCGCAACATGTGAGCTCCTGACTGAAGATTCTCTTCTTTTTTCAAAGCATTCTCATTGGTAGCCAACCGTGCTGCAGATATCAAGTCAGCATAGCTGCAGATTGGTTTGTAAGGTTGAAGGCCTGATTGACTATGTACAGCTTTAGGTGGCATCGGGAAAAAGTGCATTTTAATCAGAATTTTGAGCATGCTTCTCAAAGACTAGTGACCAATGCTTACCCCTGAAATTGATCGCAACTGAACCGAGTTGCGGGTTTGCAGTAATTCCAGAGAGGCGGACTCGGCTTTGGGCAACAAGGATGCTCCTGCACGAGCTCCCTGACGGTCACTATCAGCTGCTCAAAAAGCTGGTCACTCTGCTGAGATCTGTTCAGTTGACCCATCCAAAAGGCCTGCTGGCAGCACTCTTCGGGCCTGTGCTGCTGCAATTTGAGACCGCAACGAATACAGGACTGGGGTGAGTAGCAGCTACATTGCATTGGAGGTCTTTTCCACCATGCTTTCTGCATGGTTCTAAATCGTTGAATTGCCTTATCCCCAACTGTGATGAGGTCTTGAAGCACGTGTTGTTGGTGGTCATCTCGCCATTACCCTTCCCTTCAGCCAATGATGAATCTTGACTTTCAAGTTAATGGCACCATCAGATTCGACCCCCCTCTTGCTTCCCTTGTGTAGAACCTCTCCGCATTCCTCGTTCTGTCTTTTCTGAGCAGAACTCTATCTTTTCAATACAGAAACCCCGACATCGAGAAGCTCAAGTCTGCCAGCGTGATGTCGCTCCTCCTCGAGGAGGCCCCCGAGCTATTCAAGAAACGGCGCTTTTCTTTCAAGTCCACTGCCATTGTGGCCTCCAGCGTGACCAAGATGCGCAACCTGGCCGGCTGGCGTGCCGGGGGGGCTCCTGGCAGCCAGCACGTGCCCCCCCCCAGCCCGGGGGCCTACGAAGCAGCGCGCATCATCCGAGAAAGTCGGGAGTCTGTTGACCCGATGCGGGGCGGCAGAGTGTCTGCCAGCCGGGACACCGACGTGGCAGAGAAGTTCGGGGCACAGGTGAAGAGTAGCCAAACGACAGTGACGGCAAATCCGAAGCGCCTTGGTAAAGTGCACCCCGACTCGGACATGGCAGCAAGCTTGGCGCCGATTTCTGTTCCTGGTCGAAGTCTGACACCCCCGTCAGGCGGCTCGAGGCCTACGGCAAAGTCGGATGGTGCAGTTGACCTCAGGGAACTGGCAAAGCAGTCGTTGCAGTTGGGTTTCAGTCCGGCACAGGGGCGTCGCGACTTGGACAGAAGGAAGACAGTGTACCAGATGGGGGGCTCCAAAGAGGACCATCCGAAACCAAGGAGCGGGTCGCCCTCACTCCAGAGACGGTTCGCCCCCTCTACGTCGAGCAAGTCTCTCACGAGCAATAAAGTCCTAGCAGCGCTGGCGTTGACTGCCATTCCCAAGATTCCGAACCCTGGAGAGAAGTGGGAGAGGGAAAACGGGTTACAGGGTGTGCCGCGGGCTGCAGTGTCGAGCAACGGAAGCAGGGAGTTTGAGAAAGAAGCTTACAGGTTGAGTGGAGATGAGTCGTTTGAGGGCGTGCTGGCGAGAGACGTGATGAGTGGGCGGGTGTCAAGAACGTCGGGCAGGATGCAGGTCGAAGCCCCTAGTAGTAGAAAGACCGCCGGCTCGCCTAGCAGTGACGAGGGCCAGCACAGTCCACAAAGTCAAATTTTAGGGTCAGAGTCGAGCCAGACTCCGCTCAAGGAACAGCCAAGCGACAGCAGTCAAATTAGGGTCGAAACAGAAGCACAAGCTGACGTAGGTAAACATGTCGTGAAACCAATCATCAGTCCAATCCGGGACGCTCTCAGCACGCAGGGAGAGGCCGAGCCCAGCCCCCAGTCAGGTAGTAGCTCAGCAACCAGAGAAGCGGTCTCTCTGTCCATAGAGGAGTACCTCAATCTCCAGATTGCAACCGAGCTCGAAAACCTAGACACGCTCTTGGCCGAGGAAGCGGCGGAAAAGGGCGGTCTGCCAAGCACTGGCCAGTCGGACGGTATGCCTTTGCCGGCAAGTCGCACGGAAAGGGGGGCCCCCTGGAAATCGTCCTACGTCCAGAAGTACGCTAAAATCAGGACGCTCAAGCGGAAGAGCAAAGGCGATTGGGTAGAGAAGGACTTCGAGCTGGCAGAGTGAGTGTCGACTATTCAACGATACGCTCGAAAGACGAAAGAGTGCTTCATACCATGCGTTGGGTACTTCGAGAACTCCAAGCTTTGTGAGGGGAGCTCTCAGAAGTGGCGCTATGAGCGAGGGTTGCTGAGTAACTTTGATTCGAGCCTAGAGTGAGAGTAGGCGAACTGGAAAATGAGAAGGGCTTGCGCTGAAGCTCGACTCTACAGGAACTGTAGCACTGATGTTCCTCAATGTAGATCAAGTTTGCCAAAGTGAATTTTAAGAGCTCAAGCTTCTTCTTTCCCGTACAGGTCCGACGCTCCAGGAGAGTCCAGCCAGTCAATCACCGCTGTAGCATCTCTTTCCGGCCAAAGCCAGGACAGGTTGGGACAGGCGGGGCCGGGAAGGAAGTTAACGGAGACGGGGCCGAGCAGAGCCGATCTTGGATCAAGCATGAAAGTCAGCACCTCCAAACAAGCGCCTGCGTTCCATCAATCGGCCCGGGAGCCTCCTAGGGCCAGCAGCGGAGAGCTTTCAGGGCAGGAGACTACGTCAAGTTTGGGCAGCGGATTGCGAAGTTACCGGTCGTTCTCCCCGGACAGAGCGCTGGGCTTAGGGGGAACCCCTCGATCGGGCGGCTACTCGAGCCGCCCCCACAAGCCGGCCGCGCACTCGAGCCACAGCTTTCACACTTCCGAGCGCGGAAGTCCGAGGCGAAACCCTCACGGGGGGGTCTCAACGGGGGCTAGAGCTGCCCCCCAGGGAGGGCAGGGCAGATCAGGAATCTACTTTGCGGAATCGGATTCGGACAGTTCGCAGGACCGGGGGAAGGACCCGGGCTCCCGCTTTGCCAGCAGCCTGCGGTCCCCGGAGAGAGGCGTGCAGAGGAAAGAGGCGCGGCCGCAGTTTTCGCTGTACTCGAAGCCTTCCTCGAGGCGGAGAGAAGATAGCGACGATGAGCCCTCCCCCCGGGGAGGCCGCTCCCCGTCTCCTGATCGCTCCGGTACCAACCGGGGGGGCCGCTCCGCTTCCCCCGACCACTCTACCACCTACCGGTGGGGTCGGTCGAAGTCCCCCGATCGGCCTAAGACCCCCCGGTCAAACCGTGCACGGTCGCCCCCCAAGAAGGGGGCTCAGGACGTCAGATCCAAAACTGCCACGTCAGCCAAAAGTCCTCCTTCCTCACCGAAAGCGCCCCTGCCCCCCCCGCCGTCAGCGCCGCCGCCGCCGCCGCCTCCACCCCCCCCTCCTCCCCCACCGTCAGCTGCCCCGAAACCCCCCCCGCCGCCCCCCCCGCCAAAAGGGAAGGGCCCGCCCGCACCGCCGTCCCCATCAGGTGCGCATGTCGGGCTCGGTTACGAGCGGCCGATACAGAGAGAAAGGAAGAGGCCGCTTGCAATCACTTCGAGATAGCCTTAACAGCCATTGCCATTAAAACCGTTGTTGTGTGTCTTCTACTTCCATTTCTTTCTTGAACTTGTAACGCACTGAAGACATTTATGATACTCGCCTGCCCGGGTAGATTACTATCTAAAACGACACCATTCAAGGCCGGTCCTCAACCTCAGCCCCTGAAGCGCCGTTCGCCTCTGACACTGAAGATGTGCGCTTAAGCTTTCTTCTTGGAGCGACCAGAAAAAGCTTGCAAACAAAAGGGAGATCACACTTTTTCAGGTAGCTCCATTGTTAGCATTTCCAAACGAATCGACCTTTGAAACCACCAACCCCCCGCCTGCGCAGGCCTAACAGGCGGGCTGAAGGCGCCCCCACCACCCCCCCCGAAACGCATCCGCATGAAGGCGCTTCACTGGGACAAGCTCTCGAGTCGCGACACGGGGAATACCGTCTGGGACCAGGCGAACGCGGGTGACGTCAGCCTCGACTTCCAGCAGCTCGAGTCGCTCTTCGCGCTCAAGGAGGCGCCGCCCGCGAAGGCGCGCGGCTCTGTGAGCGCGCGCACGCGCGCCGTGCAGCTGATCGACCTGAAGCGCGCGCACAACATCAGCATTCAATTGAAGGGCGTGCGGCGGCCCGTTTCGGAGACCCGGAAGGCGCTCCTGTCGATGGACGAGAGCATTCTCACGGCGGAGATCCTGGGCGTCCTGGACCGGGCCGTGCCAACGGACGCGGAGGTATGTGATTATGCTGTCCTCGCTGACTGGACGCCGCTTTGGAATCGACTGTAACGGTCTTAGACTTGGTGCAGAATTGCTTAAAATCCGCCAGGGAGTGCGACTGCACTTATCAAAAAGTGCAGATTCTTTAGGCTTCGTTCGATTCGGCTCGCCCTTCTTCTTACAATGTGTTGCTCAAGCCTCTCTTTGCCTCTTTCCCACTGGATCTGGCTGCCGTCCCACAGTAGCCTTCACGACAAGGTCGTTTGAGTTCGAAGATGCATCTGCCCCTTCATCCTTTCCCTTTCTATCTATCACCTTCTTTCTCAGTATATTCCCTGCTCTTTTGAAAACTCCCTATCTGGAATTTTAGCTTCTTCCTCACTCGTGTCCAAAAGCTGGAACCCGTCTGGTCTGACTCCTTTGTTCTATCTCTTATCCGCCGGCGCTCCTCCACCCCTTGGCAGAACCTCGCTCCCAGCCTCGAAACCCAAAACCTGGAAGCCAAGAACTTCAAACATCTCCGGTCCTGATAGTCTGAGCCAAACCTTTTGGACTGCCTGCAGGTGGCCCTACTGAAGGCGTACACGGGCGACGTGGAGCAACTAGGCACGGCGGAGCGCTTCTTCCTGGAGGTCATGGACGTGCCGCGCCTGGGGGAGCGCATCAAAGTGCTGCTCGTCAAGGAGCAGTACGCTAGCTCGGCGGAGCGCATACGGTGAGAGATCTACGGCTTGCAGAAGTCGAACTAAAGAGAGGGAACATTTTTGAGAGCGTATAAATGTGCCCCTGGTCAAGGAGCAGTACCCAGCTCGGCGGAACAACTACCTTCCTGGAATCCGCAGCTTGCGGAAGTTGACCTAGAGAGAGGGAGAAACTTCTGGAGCGTAAAAAGTGTCGCTCGTTAAGGGCAGTACGCCAGCTCGGCGGAGCGCACACGGTTAGAGATAAGCGGCTTGCGAGAATTTAATTGGATAAAGGGAGAATTTTTGGAGCGCATCAAAGTGCACCTTATAACTGTGCAGTACGCCAGCTCGGCGGAGCGCGTACGGTGAGGACTTCGCCGCAGATTCTGGACTATAGAGGGGGCTAGAAGTCTTGTAGCGTCAAAGTGCTGCTGGTCAACGAGCAGTACGTCAGCTCATACAATGGGGAAGTTGCGACTTGCGAAGGTCGAACCAGAGTGAAGGAGAAGGTTTTGGAGCGTATCCAAGTGTTGCTGGTCAGGAAGCGCTACGTCAGCTCGGCGGAGCGCATATACTGAGGCTTCCACAGCCTGCCGAGGTCGAAGTGGAGGGAGAGAGCGGAAAACGTTTGTAGCGCATCAACGTGACAGCTCGGCGAAATACGGTTCGAAGCGGGGGCTGCTTGGCGGACTTGGGTTATTTGTTGCTTGCGTACACGTTTGCTTTCCATGTTGATTCGTCGTTCAGCGAGTTTGGTCATAGGAAAGCAGGCTTGATGCCGGTTCTTTGGAAGCCAATCTAACTTGCGCGTACGCGCGACTGGCCGCATGCGCAAGAGGTCTACATTGTTGGGACCCGACTGAAGCGTCATTTAGACGCAACCGCTAAATGTCATTCCCTACGTTCTAGCGCAGATCGTGCGCGGAGCCGTGTTTGCTCCGTACAAGAAATAGCACTTTCCTGGATGCTGCATAGCTCGTCCGGAATTGAGTCTGTCTAGAGTATCTTTTCGGTCATTCTCAACCATGGCCCAACCCCTTTTCCAGGCGGGAGCTGGACTTGCTGTCGAAAGCGCACCACGACCTGCGCGGCAGCAAGGGCTTCGTGCGCATTCTGGAGGCGGTCCTGGCGGTCGGGAACCACCTGAACGGCGGTACCTACCGGGGTCAGGCCACCGGGTTCAAGCTGGATGCGCTTCTGAAGCTGATGGACGTCAAGGGCTCGGACAAGAAAACGAGGTGGGCGGTTTGCATGGTTCGGAGAGTCAGTGCTCTGCTCGGAGAAGCTCACAGTTACTTTTGGCAGCCTCTTCCGTTCCATGCCCGCTTGGCGCTGCTTGCCGTACAGGAAATTATTAGTATTTGTATCGATGTATTGAGCCGTGTTTGTTCCTTTCTATGCACCGTTTTTGCGGCCATAGTGTGCTTGGAAGAAAAGAGCGGGACGAAAGATTGGGCCCATGGATAACAGGTCAATCGATGTTACGAATCAAAGGCTTGAACAAAAGGTTGAAGTGGATCCACATTCAGCCGGCCAATGAGAATGTAAACTTGCAGACAAGAAGAAAGGAGAAAGTGTGGTCAGGGAAAAACCAGTAGTCATCATCTATGTGGATCGAGCCTGCAGGTTACTCAAACTGCACACCTCTCTTGCAGCCTACTGCACTTTGTGGTGGGTGAGCTCCTGAAGCAGGACCCCGGGATCGGGCGACTCTCGGCGGAGCTGGCCAGCGTGAAGGTCGCCGCGAACCTGAGCCTGGACTCCATCGCCTCCGCGATCACCGAACTAGAGAAGGGACTCGTGACCGTCCAGGAAGAGGGGCTCAAGGCGTCGGTGCTGTCGGAGGAGGGTCCCCGGGAGGATGACCGCTTCGCTGACGTCATGGCGCAGTTCTCGGACAAGGCGGAGGAAGAGGTGAGGGGCTGCGGGGTGGGTTGGCAGAGTGGACCATGTGCAATGTACTGAAGGAGCCGACTGCGCTTCTCGTTTCCCCTGTCACTTGTTCCTGTGTCGCCCCAAAGGAGAAAAGCATGAATACGGCCAGTTTTGAAGCCGCTTGATCCCGCAAATGAGATGAGCAGCGAGGCAAACTCGATGCAGGTTTTTAAGTGAACGACCTTGCCGTGGCCCGAGTCTTGAAAGCTTCCAACGAAAGCTGCTCTCATATATGGGAGGTCTCTGACGAAGCAGGTGTCTATCGAGGACGAAGCTCGATGAAAGGGGAGAAAGGAAGTCTGTTCAGAGGGTAGGCCGCTAGGTTCTGAGAACCTGGCAGGGTTCGTCCTTGCGCGCGCGCTCGCGGCCAAGACGGAGGCTGACCTAATATCCCATAACTCTTGTTACTTCGCCAAACCCTGAAACCCTGGCAGGTGTCGTCCCTGTGCGCGAGCTCTCGCGGCCAAGGCAGAGGCGGGCCGATTTCAAACCTCGCTATTTCCCTAAACCCCGAAACCCTGGCAGGTGTCGTCCCTGCGTGCGCTCGCAGCCAAAGCAGAGGCTGACATGCGCGACCTATCGGTGTACTTCGGGGAGTTGGTGGACGCTGGACGGGAGCCCAAGATCTGTCGGACGACGCGAGAGTTCCTCTTCATGTTTGAGCGCGCTTGCGGGGAGATTGAGGAGGCGACGAGGAAGGCCGCAGAGGACGCACGGAGAAAGGTGATTACCTGCTGCGTCGGTTCTTTTCGTCACTTGTTTGAAGGACCACACATGAAAATTACAAAATCATCGCTCTCTTTCATCTTGCGTATCTGGCACTTCCAACTTATGGCTTCGAGAAGCACCGGCAAGTCTATAGCGAAGGGCTTAAAATTTTCGGAGACTTTACGTTTGAGGCAGGCGTTGCAATGGCGGTGATACGGTTGTTTACAAAGAGAGTGTATTTTACAAGAACCTGAGTGCATTCTTGCATGTTCATTGCCTTCCACAGCGCAAAGGCTCGCTTTGCGGCAAATCACAGGGTCCTTGACCGAAACTTGATGCTTTAATCCAGCAGTGAAGACGGGTATTATCGTCCTCTCCTTCAAACTCACTCTGTTCTCCCTTGACAGCTTCTTATTTCTTTCTCAAACTCCCTTCCAGGCCCTCGTTACAACCCGACGCGTCTCCGACGGCGCCAAACCCTCCGCCGAAACCACTCGCGGCCGCGCCCAGAGCACCCCCACTCCGGCGCGCTCCATTCTGCACAGCAATAGCCTGCCCAACCCTGATCGAACGCCCCCCCGGTCGCCACGTGTCCACTCGCGGTTCGCCAAGGAGACCGAGCCGGCGGCGGCGGCGTCACCCGTGACGTCAGCGACGACGTTCTCGGCGCCCCGGCGGCGCTCGTCGGCGTCGCGGGAGGTGCGGATCAGTCAGGAGGAGCTGGAGCACGTTCTGCACGCGAGCGCGCAGGGGTTTAGGGGTTTAGGCGCGGGGGGTTTGGGTGAGCGTCCGGACTCTGAGGCGCAGGGCTTCGAAGAGCTGACGGGTGGGAGCGCGCAGGACGTCAGAAACGCGCGCGGGGATGTGCTGCAGGAGCGAGCGAAGTTGGATGCGTGGGGATTAGAAAACGCGGGTGCGGAGGGGCTTGACGAAGAGATGGGAGCGAATCTGGTGGACTTGTGGGGACAGCTGGCTGAAAGTACGCAGGAATCTCGGGGCGCCACTGCCACTGGCGCGGAGGGTTTTGAAAAGCGACCGGACTCAAAGATTCGCGGGGTCGATGAACGGGCGAATGCCGGCGCGGTAGACTATTGGGGACCGCTGCCCGTGAGCGGGCAGGGTTTCGGGGCGCGCCAGGAGCCGACGGGGCGAGAGTTGGGGGAGGACTGGGAAGCTGGGGCAGGCATGCAGGAGTTTAGAGAGAGGCTCGAGGCGGAAGGCGAGCAAGAACAAGCGGAGCTGGGGACGCAGGAAAGGATGGATACAATAGCGGAGGAAATGCACACAGGGCAAAGGGCGGGGGATCATCCGAACGGAAAAGTGTTTCGAGATGGCGAGCGAATTAACGGGGACGCTGAGGGTCTGGGATTTGGGGACTGGCAGCTCGATACACGAGCTCGGGTATCGGATGCGGTTGCGAAAGATCAGGAAAATGAAACAAGAATGGGAAGCGGACGGCAAACGAAAGATGGGGAAGTCGCCAACGGGCATATGGAGGATGACTTGTGGGCCTCTGGCTCGAGGGCGGGCGAAGGCTTAGGTGACGGTCGAACGCAGTCGGTCGTTCCAGGAGCGCGAAGCTTGGAAGAAAAGGGTTTGGCGGACGCTTCAGTACTCGAGGAATGGACTGCTGCGGTTCTGGATGACGACCAAGTTTTCCCGCAGCAGGAAGAAAGGTTGTCTCTTCCAAATGACGGAGCGAAAGACGACGGTCAAGAGGGGACTGCTGGTGGTTGGGAAAGGGCGAGTTTCTTAGACGTTGAAGCTTCTCGATGCGACAAGGAAGCCGAAGAAGATGCGGAAGGCCTTCAAAGCATGCTCATGAGCAAGTTGAGGAAGATGAGCATGGTCAAGGAGAACGACCGCGCAGGAGGATACGAGTCAGACTGGTCGACGGGGGCTAGCCCCCCGCAGCACTTTGTTCGGGTGCTTTGATGGTCTGGACAGGACCAATGAAATTAAGGATGCACGCACAGAACAGAAAGCCGAAAAATTTTGTCAGTAAAACCTGCACGTGCAACATGTGCGTCACCTTGCATCGGTACGTGCTCATGCGAAAAATGCGTAAAACCGTCGAACTCATCAAAGGTTATAAATGCGAACATTAGTTTTGTATGCCAGCAACTGACCAGTGGCATAGTATACGAAAGTGCCGGCGGCAATCCTTCTCGATGTGCCCTTTTGGATGATAATTGTGTCCTGCACTTGAGCCAGAGTTTGCGCAGGCTTAATAATTGCGCATTCTAGGTACACATCTATTATTGGCCGTCTCCGGATCCTTTTCGTAATCAGGTACTACTCAGCGAAAACAGTCGAAGCTAGGCCCGCTCCAAATGATCGGACATGCCATATGCATCATAGTATCTATTCATCTCGAAATGTATGGCCGTTCTGGAGCTGGAACCATCTTCTATAGCACCGTCGCATCAGAGGTTTGAAAGCTCGCGGCCGTGTGCACGATGCCCTGCTATTCCATCCGTCGCCAGCTATGCGACTTGCGATCCACATAAGTGTCCGAGTGATCACAACAAACCATACGATGGCGGCCCACCGGCAGCAGCCACATGTTATCACAGGCAGCCTTTTGCATGGTTTCGTCCACCTTCAGGTCCACCTTCAGTTCAATGAAGTGTGCGCATAGTTAAGGGGTTTAAGTCTGAAACACGCGCACGTCCGGCTACAGGGAATCGCCAACTAAACAGCATCCAACACACGTTTCAACTCTGTCATCAAGTAACATCATTCTAGTTGACAACTTACTCTATTTCAGTTCAACATACCCCTCACGCAAGAAAACCTTGCAAACCCATGTGTCGATTGCACTACGTACAAAACTTTGCCGTTTCAGAGGACAACTTGGACGGAAGGTCCTCATTGGTCCTCAAGTTTGGCTTCATAACCATTCTCTTTTGGTGTATACTTCATCACTCCGGGCCCAAAAGGGTGAAAGGTCTTTGTGGGTGCACCATTTGCATCCACAAGGGGCCCGCTTGCATGAGCCCAAGCAATGATGGCACCTTCAAGATTTTTGACCTGCGGAAGGAAACAATAACAGCACTTCATTCAAGTATCTCAGGGTCCAACTCAAGAATCGTTTTGGACGCATTTGTCACCAGAATCATATCAAACGCAATGATAGTCCAAAGTGCAGCCTTTCACATTTTTCCTCTTTCAAGTGGTTGTTGCTCTGCTTTAGTTTGCCAGAGACTCCACTACAACAAGTTATGACAAAAATCAACTATGACCTTATGCGCCAAATCTCACTTTCAAGTCAGGATGAGCATCCTTGATTTGTTTAGCCAAACGGCCTCCTCTTATCCCCACAGTGCAGTACGTGACCACCACGTCCTTCCCGGCCGCAAGCTTCGTGCTATTTTGCAAGAAATCGTCCTTTGTCACAGCTCCTGGAATTGTGGACATAGCTCGTTCTGTGGAATAGGAGGAAGCCGGACGTAAGAAAGTTTGATGGAGATTGCAGAATGACACCCTTGGATGAATATCAGAAACAGAAGTACAATATTGCCTTTGACTAATCACTGCGGGTGTGATGCAGAAAGGCAAACAGAGATTCTCCTTTGAACATGTTGGAACCAGGGCTCCCTTAAAGTTGACACTAGAAGTCTTGTAGAAGTTGCTGAAATGCTCGGCTGGGCCTTGGCCATCTCCAATTGAGCGGATGCTGATGCAGAAACTGGTGGACACAGCATTTAAGGTGGCCAAAGAAACGAAGTGGCCACATTGTTGGCCAAGGAAACTAAGGGCTCACCTCCATCACTCCTTGCATCAACAAACAACACAGACTCAGGGCTGAGAGAGAGTGCTTCCGCTGGCGTCAAGTCTTCCACGTTGGGAAACTCTTCCGCCTTTTTGGCCCGGTATGTGCCAATCACTCCATTCAATCGCTCGCTGTCATTCGCATACTCCTCTGCCATTGTCCTTCTGCTGAATCCAAAATGGCTACCCTGACAATTCCACAAAACTCAACTCAACAAAACTTGAAGAGCATGGAGGCCCCGTTTCTTGCAGCTAGAAGATGATGATAGGTACTACGCATTGAATGCGCGCCCGGCCACCACCTGGAATTTGAAAAGAAATGCAGGCAATCCCTTTTCAATTCCACTCTTTTGTCAACAGTCTTGTGTTGGCTGGACCAGCTTGTGAATATTCCAGGCCCAGCTCTGGACTTCAGCTCTAGTCCTAGGTGTACGATGTATTTTCAGCCGTTCGATGCAACCGTTGACCCTACGTACCGTCTATTAGGAAAGCGGCTGGCTAATCCGCAGCCGTCCAATATTCTACGATCTCTAGCGGAGGGTGCAGGATCGTCACAGCCCTCCACGTCAGCTCCAGCGCAACTGCTTGTAGATTCTCTTCTTTGGCATGCAAACCTCATGGGAGCTGAGTGATTCGCAGTCCACAGCTTTCCAGCACAAGGGCTCCCCTTTCCTTTGTCCACCAGTGTCGAGCCCCTCACGCTCTCAACATCCAAAGGAAAGAGGCCCTTGTTCTGCTACTCCAGGTTGGGCATCAGTTCTGGCAGGCTGTCAGAAAAGCCAATTTGAGAGTTGCGCAAAGGCCGCCAGCAGAGGGTTAGAAGACGTGCGAGCATCATGGCACATGCAAGCTCGATAGCTGCGATTGGAAGGCATGGTCCATTCTTTGGGTCTGTTCTGAAAGATGTCAACCAGCACAAAGTGCATGGAGATGATATTCACCAGCATTTGAGGCACATGCTGCCTCGCTCTCGAGGTGTTGATTCGTGTCTATTTACGACATCACGCTCAGCATCAGCTACCTGGTCAGGAAGAGTACCTCAAGGTGGTGGTCATACTAGAAGACTCAAGTTGCACAAGCTCAGTTTCTGCTCAAGGGGTAAATCATCATCGAAGAAGCAAGGAACTGTGAGGTGCAACTCTAGTGCTCTATCAGCTGGAGGTGGCGAGATTCTGGGAAGTAGCATGGAAGAGATGGAACTACGGGGTGCACAGCAGAGGCAAACGCAGAGTGAGCCGTGGCAGGGGGACAGGCCGATGATTCTACCTCTGCTGCTGAGGGAAAAGAAGCCAGAACATTTCGTCAAGTAAGCGCAGAGGACAGAGCTGGCTTTCTTTACACTTGTGCGTGACCAGTGTCTGCGTCAACTGTTTGACCAGCAAACGTGGGAGGCATGCAAAGCGGTTCTCAGTTGTTCGAAAGGTGTAGAATCCCAACATGTGGTCCGTCAGAAGAATGGTACGCCGTAATTGGCAAGGTACCACCTTTTTTCAGGAGCTGATGTCATCGATCGACAACAAGAGCCCTCCCGCAAGTCAGCTGGTTCTGTGTCAGGACCGGCTGTCTCTGTAATGTTTCTGGCCACAGCTTTTCATTCTTGCTGAAGGCTATGTAAGATGGCCCGTCTTTGCATCTGCACTCCTCACTTGATCATCTCGATTGTAGCTCATCATCTAAACTTGATCAGACCTTCTCAGAACGCTGCATCTGGCTTTTCATTTGGCGATCAGTTGGTAATGTACTATGAGACTACTGGACTTTAAAGAGGGGCAAGAACCGCGTTTCCTGCGTGCTGCTTTCAGACCTTCTTTAGAGAAGAAAAAGAGGTTTCTGTTTTCCAAGCGCTTGCTCAACTTGTCTTTAACTGGGCCCCTTAACGATGACTTTCTGCCTCTGTTTGCACACCCTCTCTTTTTCCTCCGAGCTGGCTTGATTCAAGTACGGTAAATCTTGTCGGATTCCAGCAGGTACATTTAGCCACTATTTTTCCTACAAAGCTGCCAAGGCTTTCATCACACCTATCCGTTTTTACCTTGATTGGCACTCTTCTTTTCCTCTTGACTTTCTGCCGCCTCTTGTTGACGGTCGCTACTTATTTGTCCCCGTTTCCCAACTAAGTATCTTTCGCGCTTGCACGTCGCAAAGGCCTCCTGGATTTCACTCATCTCATGATACATACCCTCCTCTTTTCTGGTTTTGACTCCTGCCCCCGAGGTGCATACGGCAGTTGAGATTTAAATGATTCCTTATCTGGATATGGCTCATTTTCTGATACATACCCTCCTCTTTTCTGATTTTGACTTTCTGCCCCCGAGGTGCATATTCAGTTAAGATCTTAAATTATGCGTTATCTGTCATCCTTCCCGGTCTTCTTCCTAAACCACCGTACATCTCCCACTGTACATCTCTCCTTTCCGCAGGGCTCCCGAGGGTTTCCTCAATAAGGCCCGTTTCCAAATCACTCTCCCCCTTCTCTCCTTATTTCACTGCATCGACCTGTAGCGAGAGTTGTTTCTGTCAAAGGCTGTACATTTCTGTTCATCTTTTCGATCTCAACACGATTGATCTTCCTGTTCTGCAGGGCCGCGGAGGGCCTCCTCAAAATGGCCCGTCTCCAGAACTACTTCCCTTCCTTTCTTCTCGTTGTCCTTGGGGCCTGGATGGCATCCGGTCATGACGCCAGAGTGATTTTGATGCCGAAGGTGTGGATCACTGCCGCCTGTTCCGCTCTCATAGCAGTTGCGTCCATGCTGGCAAACGACGTGTTCGACTTCCGCTCCGGGACCGATCAAGCGAACGAGCGGGACACGCCGCTGATGACTGGGGAGGTCGCCCCAGATGACGTAAGGCCGCAAAGCTATGCTTACTTTTCCAGACAAATGGACTTGATAATTTGACATGGACCAAGACGACCAAAAAGAATCCAAGCATTTCGGGGGGTAGATTCTTGAGCACAAATGGACAGTAGGAAGCAGTTAAAGGATTATGACTGCGATGCTTTTTACGTTCTGGCTCCGAAGGTAAGAACCAGCTTGGAAAAGCTGTAAGATGAGTGTGGTTTTGTTTGTTACTGATGCATCTTATGTCTCCAGAACTGGCTGGCGGTCAAAGAACAGGAGTGCATGGCATCGGCATTCGGCAGCCTACGGAATGTTTCAACAAGCTAAGCTTCTTACACTAGGTCTGAAAGGCGATCACAAGCTTCGTAGAGCCAGAGGGTTTCTCCCTTTCCATATCCCCCTCCTGCTTATCTTCCTGTATTTTCCCTCTGCCTTTATTTTCATGCAGCCATCGACACCTTTTTCCTTTCCCCTCTGTCAAACCACCATCCGGTGTTCTAGAACCCCTTCCACCTCGACTCATTCTCCGTTTCTTAACTTTTCCTGTCCGCCCCGCTCACCTTCCACTCTTTCTATGCCCAGGCTGAGCTCGCAGCGGGATGCCTGTACGGAGCAGCCGTGATCGGCATCTGCTGCCTGGAGCCCATGACGCTGCGGCTGCTCGTGGGGGGGGCTGCCGTGGCCACCTATATTTATACCCCCTTCCTGAAAAGGCTGCTCGTGGTTAAGAACGTCATTGTTGCGGCGATCATTGCTTCGTCGATCCTGGCCGGGGGACTAGTGGCAGGTAAGGGGTATAGATTAACCTGCTTGCGAGATTCAAGGGGAGAGTAGGGAGATGTGCATGGGGACTCCTCTCACCACCCCAACTGCGAGTAGGATTGCAACGGCGCGTGATAATCTGTGGATTTCGGCCTGTCGTCACACATATTACCAGTCCGCAAATTTCTTGGTACTACTGTATTTCTGCACGCTAGTCCTCCTCAGTAATTCGCTATGAGTAACGTGCAGACATGAAAGCCGGACATCGTTTTGTGTAGACTTTCTTTCCCGGCGCTATCATGGCAGAGGTAGATTTTGCCTGTAGGGGCACAATCAAGAGGATCCCGGCGTGATTTTGTGGCCAGGCTCAAGAGCCATCTCTCGATGCGAACAAAGTTCGCCGGGACGGCTTCAGTCGCCAAACTTCAAACCCGATAGGCAAGACAAGGCAAATCAACAAAAAAGTTGCGTAACTCAGACAACCCACTGAAGTCCGCCTCTTGCGATTTGCAGGCGGGGCAGCCGGGGTGGCACGGACTGGGCAGGTATCGCTGTTCTTCTTCCTGTGCATTCTGTGCCGGGAAATTTTGATGGACGTCGGGGACATGGTCGGGGACAAAGCCGCGGGCGTCCGGACGGTCGCCGTCTGCTTCGGACGTCGGGTCGGGACGGCCGCTGCGGGCATTGCGCTTGCCGCCGCCAACGCTGTCCTGGTGAGACGCTTGTTCTCGTTGGTTGGTCTGCTATGATGAATGTGTGGAAGCGCTGCCGAAGCGGGCATGTCTTCTCCGTTTCCTAATTAGTCCAGTAGTTCCTATGGACGCTGTTTTGTTAAGCAGGGGAGGCAGAAGTGCTGCTCAAGAGGTAAAAGCGTCGGGTTGCAGTCTGGCGGTCAAACTCCCACTCCAGTTTTTCTCCCGGATCGTGCACTGCACGTTTTTTTTCTTACAAAGCCGTAGTGACAGATGTCTTGGTAGGTTTGTGAGAAGATGTGCGCTACCATCGTCCCTTGTTCCACAGTCGTTGAATACAAGCGAACACGCCAGCTTCTGCTCGTGTGCACGGCACTCCGCTCCGTTGCAGCGCCTTCCGCCCTCACTTTACGAGTCTTACCTGCAGATTGGCATTCTTGCGAAGACCCAAGCGGTAGCGGCCGCGGGGACCCTTCTCCTCCTCCCCCTGCACGCCAGGATCTTTCAGCTGCTCCAAGGCGGGTCCGATTTCACCGCTGACCGGCTGTCCCTTCTGCGAGGCGTGGTTGACCAGTCCATGCTGTACATAGGCGGCTCTGTTTTGCTTTTGGCAACAATTGTGTGAGAGAACACCACAAAATATAGTGTAGGTCTGGAATTGGTTGGTATTTATGATGAGATTGGATCTGCTAAATGTAGGGAGCATTGCTGTTGGTATAGGGACAGGCAGTGCGAGTGTGTCACATAATTGTGGCTCTCACAGTCGATCCGATTCAGGGAGTGCTTAGATGTACATACGAGGGAAGTGCAACAAGATTCTTTGTGCGCATAGCTGTGACGGCTGAACAAAACTTTAAAGCCGTGTGGTAGAAATTGATCTCCGATAAATCTAGGGTAGACGTTTGCGTGAGTATATATTGTAGATTGAGCTTTTGTGACGGTACTGACTGAGCCCACAATTGTGCTAGGCAGAGATCCTCGATTTGACGGAAGTTGTTATACACGGTACACAAGAAGCTCAAAACACGTGTCTCTAAGCAAAATAGCCATGCCCAGCAATCTGGCTATATCGTAGTGGCCTCGTGTATAGCCGTAAAAGCATTAAGTGGGGTAAGGTACCGTCAGAAGTTGCCAGCCTGTGACGAATGCGTGGCAAACCGTACCTCAGAGCTGTTACGCTGATTGCCGAAATGCATGCGGATTGCCTAAATGTATCCATATGAGGTGCCAATGCTACCAAATCACCAGGCTCGCATCCTTGCAGCTGATCCATGCACGTTCGCACGCCTCGAAAGGCATTCTGCTTAAATTCCAGAAGGAGTCATTTCGATTTTCAGGCATCACAGAATTTCCGTAGACAATGAGAAGCGGCAGAAGGATGCACCGTATCTCTTACGATAACGACGTACCAGTGCAGGACATTGAGCAATGGCCCGGAAGGCTGACTGGTTCTCAGCACGGCCGTCTCAACATTGGACTGAAGGTACACAAACCTGAAGCCAAAAGATATGACGACAAATGCACAAAGAGCCCATCGGACGAGCAACCAAAACGTAGCCGATTCTTTTGGATGCGTCAATCTGAAGCTGGGGGTATGGAACTTCATCCCTTCCCTTTGACTTACGCACCGCCAGGGCTTCGACGCTTTAGCATCTCTTGTTCCAAACGTCGTGCGCGAATGCTGGTAGACACAGAAAGTCCTGTGTAATCAGATGGTCCGCAGATTGGTGTATTTGCATTCTTGACCATTGAGTCGAAGGAAGATTGACGAGTCCCTTCTCTTCGAAGCCTTGCATCCGGCCAGTGGCCTGACCGAAGGCGACCAGCTCACTTTATCAATTTGTTCGTCAAATCGTCGAAGCTGCGTTCTTGAGTTAAGTATTGACTACAAGTCCGCGTAAGCAATCTAAACTGCAAAGGACAACTGGTTACGATCCAAGCTGGGTCCAGGCTTCAGTCGAGCTCCTGCCAAGATCAATTTTGCAGGGCTTCAAGGGCCTTGCGTGCGCGCTTGCAGACGGATCGATCACAATCATTCTCGCGTAAGGAGATTGAGCTGCGCCACAAGCGGCGGCCGATTTGGTGTCTCGATGCTGTTTGCCTCTTTCGATTATGAGTTCTGTTCTTTTAGAGAGAATGACAGAAGTAAGAGCCAAAGGATACCCACTGATCTATCGAATGCTCCTTGAGTTTGGGAAAGCCCCTGAGGCATTTGTAACGGTGGAAACTTGACTGTACTCTTCGCTTCGACTCATACTGTCACTTGAGAATAAGTTCGCAGCCGACTTCGATGTAAGCCGTCTGACTGGTTTTTACGAGAGAGTTCCACTGGAAAGTTCACTTCCAGCTGCTTTTATCCGGTTCGCCCGTTTGAAGCTCCTCGAATCCGCACCACATCAGCGCTCTGGTACGCGCCTGCTCAGGCTTCTGCTCTCTCGGAATTGATGTCCATGAATCGTACAAGTCTCCTGGAAAGATTGTATTCTGGTCTCGACCGAGAAGTGGGCCTTTGAATTTTAACTTAGTCACAGAACGCAGCAACTACAAACTCGATCCGAAAAGGACACACTTGCTTTTCGGCCGCCAATAATCTAGACATCAAGGGAGGGCGCCATCCCAAAACGTTGGTGTTGCGCTGTCCTTGGTATGCATCATGGGAGAATACCAATGATTACAAGAGCACAGCAGTTTCGTGGTCTCAAATGCTTTGCAGTGTTTTCTTGCCTTGAAGTAGTGGAAACTTCAAAAGCGGTGGATGCCAACGGAGGAGTCCGAAAATTTTCGTACTTGCGAAATCAATGATTCCAAATTGGCGCTGCGGGTCGCTGTATTGTATTCATTGCGCTTCAGCTTCGGACTGACTCACGCCGAGTGGTGATCTTTGGATACCAAAGACAGCTGCTTGAAAGCTAGTTCGTTCCATTTGCCGGCTCGCTTCAGCTCTACGCAAAGGGTGCGTTTTCGTCGAATATCCCCCCACCATTCTGAGCTTCACAGCGTCAGACGTCGAGAAGCGCTCGATTAATCGAAGCCGTCAGATCTTGACACGTGACGCATCGAACGACAGGTGACGTTACCATGTCATTTCACCCACAAGGTCTCCGTTTTCTGTGAGCATACAAATGCGGCCGGGTGCTGCCTGTCTCGGCAGATGGTGAGAAGTCGCGCCGAGCAGCCTGCTCGTGCGCCGTAAGCCCGGGCTCTGCCGGGGTGTCTGCTCACTGGGGGTGATCCCCCGACGTCGAGGCCGCGGGCCTCCGTCTGGCAGGGGGGGCTCCCGCGGGAGCTCCCTCTGGCCGGGGCAACGCCCCAGAGGCTTGGGAAACATCCTCTGCCGTCTTAACCCATTCCAAAGTCCAACCATATCCCCACAAGTCGCATGAAGGGCCGACTCCTCGTTGAACAAACTAACACTATTTTCTAGGCTGGGAATACTATGATAGCCGACAATACACTATTGGAATCGCGAAATGCACCTTGAGCATGGAAGAGTGAGATTAAAGTCCGGATTGGAACAAGCGACCGGGTTTGTTCAGATGATTGTTTGGCGGTTCAGACTATAAGTCGGTTTGCTCAAGCTTTCAGCTCGAACAAAGGATGCACTATTTTTGGAATCGAACGGTTGCGCACGCGTGAAGTGCCTGTACGAGCAAAAACATGCTGACTTGAGGCGCTCAAAAGAAGGCGAGTAAACTAGTAGAGAACATGTTTGACCGCGGACATTGATAGGAATTCGAAGGATGGGCTGATGCAATTGGAGTGTATTAGACGGAGCTATCTCGCTGCATGACCCATTCTTTTGTCACAAAACCGATGAGATTATTTAGTTTCCCGACCTTTGAAGTGTGCAAAATGACAAGGTCTACCACTATTTTTGAAGCCCCGATGACCTTTATCTTCCCCGGGTGGCAACGAACTAGTTGCCGATGTCAAATGCAGCTTTCGTAGCACACGGCCTCTAAACGCCAGACTGTTCTTACAATGGGTTTGTTCAACAAGGCAAGTTGGCTGAGAAGCACCTGAAGACATGCCCATCTTGAGAGTGTGTGGATTGGGTTGTAGACGGCAGAGGATGTTTCCTAAGCCTCTGGGGCGTTGCCCCGGCCGGAGGGAGCTCCCGCGGGAGCCCCCCCTGCCAGACGGAGGCCTGCGGCCTCGACGTCGGGGGATCACCCCCAGTGAGCAGACACCTCGGCAGAGCCGGGGCTCACGGCGCACGAGCAGGCTGCTCGGCGCGGCTTCTCACCATCTGCTGAGTCAAGCCGCACCATGCCACCTTTATATGGTCAAGGAAAACGGGGAGCTTGTGGGCGAAGTGACCTGGTAACGTCACCTGCCGTTCGATGTGTCACGTGGCATGATCGTACGGGTCGCAGAACGACGTGCGACCGTGTGCGAATAGGCTTCCGTGTGAGAAGAACGGACGGTCTACTCTGTAACAGCGAGGTCGGTTTCAAGGCATATTCGCGAATGGAGTATGAGGCCAGCACGTTTTGGGTAGAGTAACCGGAAGCTGTACCTTGATCAGCACCTTTAGACGCAAAGGCTTACCAAAGACCGGGCAGCTGTCCAGAATGACCACCTCAATGCTTGCTCCTTTACCCTGAAAAAATGCTCCGTAACTTTGAATCGTACTCAGTGCAACGTATATAAGCACCTGCAGGGCTTAACCGGAGCTTTTCGAAGCGAAGCTGAACTCACTAGCTTCGATGCTTGCCATGAGCTTGCAGTTCGAGGTTCATGATTACGGTATCAGGCCTCCATTTTCGCAATGATGGCTGTGCCACAGTATACAGTATACGTCAGTGTACCGCAACTTGCCATCATGTTCCGCTGCCTTTGGCAGTCACTTCGACGGCATTCGTGAGGTGGGCACAGAAACGACTACGTAGGCGCGCTACTCAAGGGCTTCAGAAAGAAAGTCGAGCTCTAGAGTGACAAATCATTTAAACTTAGTTCAGAGACGGAAATGACTCCAAAGTCGACAGAGCTGACGTTAAGACGCTTTGCGTGTGTTGCGTACGGCCGTCTGCGTGATCTCCATCCAGCTTAATGATCACGTGGACTGCTGCTTCGCTTATGCTGCAGCATATGCGTCATCAAGACAAGCTGCAGGCTTTTTCTTTACAACGCTCGAAGGGGTTTAACATAAGTGAACTTCGTAACCGCCAAGAGCAAGTATATATTGGCATCCTTTGTGGCGACACCTTCTGCTCGAGACGATTCCCGCGCTTTGCTTACTTCTCGGCCGCTCAACACATGCAAACAATATCCCGTCAACTTCGAAACCTGCTTTCTACCGCGGTCCTTGACGGTCTGCTGGGCAAAGGCGTGACCCAGGGGGCATATTAGTAGGGAGAGCGCCTTGTCCGTCACCTTGACAATGGCAAATAAGGGTTTGTTAGTTGACTATAAGAAGCTTCTCTCTGGCACGAAGATGAAATGCTTCTAAAGCTGTGCAATTAGTACCTATGTTGGAACAAATGGGAGCAGCTTGACGGCGATGCGCTAGCTCCAGGCCTGCCGGCCGCGTGCCGCGCTGGCCGCGATGGCCGCGTGCTCGTTGGCGCCCGGCCGCGGCATGCCGCGCCGCCGCGAGACCGCTAGCCGCCCGACCGTCACAAGATTCCGCGATTCCGCGGGATCGGCCCTGCCCCCATGCATTGACCGGAACAGCCGGGCAATGCCGTTTATTATACCTCTGCACCGGGATGGATTCAGCAAACACATGAAAGAGCTAGCTCGAGTACCGGTCGCAAGGGAACCGGGTCCGGAACCCCCGAGTCCGGCGGAATGAAATTCCGTTGGATATATTTTGACGCAAGCCAACCTTTTCGCCACCTAGCAAGGACCAAGTGGCAAGGAGCCTCGTGGTACATGCAGCACCATGGCGCTGGTGGCGGAGCGCATGAGGCGGGTCGCTCTGGCCGCCGCGGCTGCTGTCGAGTCTTCCTTCTGGACCCGTGCTTCTTCCCCTGTTGCCCGCGGCAAAGGACTTCTCGCTGCTGAGGGCGCCGCCAGCGAGCTAGCTGGGGCCAGTTCCGAGGGGTCTTCTGAAGTTTGGGGAAACAGAGAAAGCGGAAGACGGGGAGGGTTTCCGGGCGTGGTACATGCGAAAGATGTGGGGAAAGGTGGTGGTCAGGGCAGGGGTTGGTTGAGCAGTCTCCCTTTGCTCGGCAGCACATCTAGTCATGTGTCAGTTCAGGTGCCAGGAATGCAGCATCAGGCTTGGCACCAAAGAAACGGACACAAAGTTTCTCATAAGCTCTCAATGGACTTTGGCGTAACTGGCCAGCGACGGGGGATTACTTCTTTACCACATTTGGGAGGGGTGGCAGCCCCTGCGATTCGGGAGGAGAGGGTTGGGTTGTACGGCTACAATGGGCTGATGGACCCCCAGGGGTTTAGGGTTTTGGTTCGGGAGGCCATTGAAACTTCCGAGGGGATCATCCACGACATTCGGCATGCGGCGCCGTCCGTCGCCATTGTAAGGGGGCTGGACGACATTTCAAATACGGTGTGTACCGTCTTGGACGCGGCGGAGCTCTGCAGGAACACCCACCCGGACAGGTTGGTGTTCTGTTCTTCCCCCTTTTCCTATCCACTTTTCGGTCTCCGTATCTCTTCTCCTTTCTTCCTTCGCAGTTATCTTCTTGCCTTTGTCTCTTTCAGCCTTTTCTGGCAATGTGGGGCTGCAGTCTCGTTTGTTGTCCGCAGTTTTCCAAGTAAGAACAGTTGAGCTCACGGAGTGTCTAGGTTCTGTAAGGTTGGGCTTACGCCTGTGAAGATGTTGATGCACATGGGCACTTGGTTGGCTGGATTGTGTAATTCAAGCGCTCACAAAGTGACACATTTTATGTCTCGCATCAGGGTAGGCGTGGAATACTCTGCAGGATTGGCATGTGGGCCCACATTGTGCCTTTTCTGCAAATGCCCTTGTCTGCCAGGGACTGCGCGGAACGTTGTGGACCTTTTTGGAGAAGTTGGGCGCAGCGAGGTCGTTGGAACAGGGGAACAAAGTCGTGCGGCAATATTGTCGCTTTCTCTGTTGCTCGCGTCACAGTGGGGGAAATTTGTATCTGGAAGAAAGAAACTTGGGTGTGGACTCGGAGTCAGCCCGGAGGCGGGTATTGTATTGGGGGTTTAAGGTGACCGTTAAATTCCCTACGTAGCATTTCAACTCTGTTATCGAAGTTTGGGATACCTGTGGTCAGTCATCAGATCTCAAAGAACACTGGGCAGGATGCGTTAAGAGTCCTGTGGTGAGCAAAACAGATGTAAACCCGGTCTTCTGCCCCTTATTATACAAGAATGGTGGTACTCAACTTTACACTGTTGTGCAGTACTCTGGATTAAGGAACTCTAGTGCCGAGTAAGAGAGTCAGCAGGGGCTGCTCTTCTCAGGTTGTAGAGGCAAGGTTGTCATCCCCCCTTCAGCCCCCTGCACACCGAATCATGAAACCTGCACACCGAATCACGAAACCTCCAGATTCCGACTGCCACATCCTAAGTCATTGATTTACTCTCTGCAGGGAATGGGTGGAGGAGGCTGACCGTGCCTATTTGGAGCTCTCCCGCTACGTCCAGTCGCTCAACACCAACACGACGCTGTTTGGCGCCCTGGTATCCGCCATGGAGGGGGGGTGCATCGAGGGCGAGGAAGCCAGCCGCGTCGCGGCGATGCTGCGCATGGATTTCGAGCGTGGGGGTATCTATCTTCCGGAGGAAAAGCGGGCGCAGGTGGAGGCGCTCAATAACAGGAGCACGCGCCTCGGCATGCAGTGAGGGCTCGCCTATGTTCTCAAAGTGGTTGTTTGAGATTGGAGTAGCCCGGCGCATTGGGGTTTCTACTCGAGGACGCAACAATGAGCACGACCTGACCATCATGCATCTTATGCGATCGTGTTGAATCCGGTCCCCTAACATCATCGCTCGGTCCCCTCTTCGATCCATCAGGCTGATTTCGTCAATTTTCTCGGCTGATGCGCCCGAGAGATTACGCAGATCATACAACTCATGTAGACTCCCGTTCTCAGCAAGGAAAGGGCATTTCTACGATGCTTGCTCGACCAGGTGTCAAGAACCACGAACCCACTTCTCAACCACCTTTCTCGTAGATTCGGCGCGAATATCATCAACGACAGCGGGTTTGTGGACATCTACCCCGCCAGCCGGTTACGGAACGTGCCCATTACAGTACAGTCCACGCTGCAACGCGTGCAGAAGCAAGACTGGCCCGGCGTGGTCCGCACCGGAACCCGAGTGCCCACCGACCCCATGACAGTGCAGTCCGTGCTCAAATGGGTGGAGGAGCCCGAAGTAAGAGCTCGTCTCTCATTGCATCGAATGAGCAATTTCGGGTGTTCAAAAATCTCTCTTTCTTCCCCCTATTTGAGTCTCCAGGACGGAAAGGTGAGAATTCGTTTGTTTGGCACTGGGGACTGTAGAAGGGAGAGGGAAGGATTCTGTTTTCTTTTGCGGGGACAGGAGGGACGTCCTTTGATTGGTTGGTTCGCGAGGAAGGTGGTTTCGGGATCTGGGATTTATTGTGGCAAGCAGAAAGAGAAGATTAGCGCTCGATTGGATTAACGGTTAAAACGTGCAAACCCGTGACCGTGCAGCCGACGCTCAAGTGGGTGGCAAAGCCCGAAGTGAGAGCTCCTCTTGCGTTGCATCGAAGTCATAGCGCCACCTCGAACATTGCGAGTGTTCAATACTCTCTTCTTATTTTTTCTCTCCCTATTGAGTCTCTCCGTGACTGAAAGGTCCTCAGAAACCCTTCGGTGACAGCTCAGATGGGGGCAAGTGCCCAGCAAAGTACAGCTGTTTGCGTCAGATATGCCATTGGAATCCAGTTCTCCCACGATGATTCCTGTTCTTGAGCCGTTCGATGCCTTCCTTGTCGTCGATCGGACGGTCCAAGATCAGGAAACACTGTCGGAGCTTTTGGAACTGGATGGCACGTTTACGCAAAGAGCTGAATTGTCTGTGCGCCGTCAGCATCGTTTCGTATCGAGACTCGAAACCGCGCTGGTACAGTCGCTCAAGCACGGGAAGGACCGCTAAAAGACTTGCTTGTTTTCTCGTGGGAAGTTTTCAGAAGGATTTCAAGATGCTCAAGGAATGCTGAAGTGTGGGTAAACCCTCGAGGTGACTTACCTGTTCCTGTGGGGTGGGGGCACTTATCTCGTAGGCTCCATTTGTTCTGTTCGAGAAAAGCCTCTGCAAGAGAGCGCATTCAGTGTCGAAAAGTGGGGACCAAGGTTAGAGACCGAGGGATCGTGAGAGAACGGCTCGTTTTCTTTTTTATGCGGGGGTCGAGATGGAAAATGGAAAAGAGATCATATCCAGTCACCGGGTCCCTTATTCCCGTTCGAAGAGGGGAACCGGTCTCTGACACCGTCTGCCAATCTCGTGTTTGATGACAATTTATCCTCCCTTTCAAGTTTTTGAAAGGGAACACACAAGCTTATACCTCGTCCTAACTTAGTAACCACTTGCTGCACTTATCCCGGCCCCCTGTAGGTAATCTCACGCCTCTATCTTTCTTCAGGTGCGGCGGCAGGTCTACCTCGCTGGGCACAGCACCCCCCGCGCCAACCTGCCCGTTCTCGACGAGCTCATCGCCACGCGCCACGAAGTTGCGCAGCTGCTCGGCTTCAATTCGTACGCAGACTTCTTTCTTCGCCCGCTCATGGCGCGCACGCCGGATGCGGTGGTTACATTCTTGGAGACGCTGAGCACCGAGCTCAAGGGCCCCGCTGAGAAGGTAAAAACGGGTTTCAGGGTTCAAGAGTTTTAGGGTTTTCGGATTATATTTCAGATTGTCGCGAGATTGGACTGAAAGTGTGAAAGTGAAAGTGAAAGTGTTAAAATCTTTGAGATCCTGCGCTCGGTTGGATACTCGAGAAGCTGCGGACAGTCCGTCGTTGAAGGATAAGGCACGGAGTTTGTAGAAAGCCTGCTCGCCTGGATACCTCGTTGACGCCGAGGGTCCCACTTTCACGCCTCACTTGCGCGTTTCAGTATTGCGAATCCTTTCTCCCCTTTTTTTTGTATTATCTTTTGTGTCTTCACTTCCGAGCTTTTGTGTTTTGAGCCACGATTTCGTTCAGTATTTCCTTACCTTTTCGATAAAGGGGCATGCGGCCGTTTCTTTGTTGCTGCCGCCCTTGCTGGTCAACCTCCTTGTGCTCGGAAAAGTTCGCACTTTCTTCCCTTCCTCAGAGCGTCGTCAATTTCTCTTCTGAAAGGCGGTTTCTTGCCAGGTGTTCACCTTTAAGGGCGTCCAATTTTCGCCGTTTAAGATGGGCCTAAGATTCCCGATAACCTGGGATACTGATTGATGTTGAGACAACGGGATTGGCGATGGTAACGGCAAACTGATTGCCTCACTCCTCTTGCAGGAATTTGCCCTGTTGTCCCAAGTCAAGCAGCAGTACGAGCCCGGGTCGCCCGTCCGCAGCTGGGACCGGGGCTACTACGTTGGCTTGCTCAAGGCCAAAGCCCACAATCTAGATGCACGGGTAAGTTGCTTGGACTGATTTATTTCGTGGTTAGGGCTCGTCGTCCTGAGCTGCATACGTGTTGTTGAGAATCCTCTTGGCCACGAGTCCAATCTGGACGACGTCCTGGCTTGCTCAAGGCGAAAGCCCATAACTTAGACGCGCAGGTGAGTTGCTTGGACGGGTTCGGTTCGTGTTCAGGGCTCGTCATTCTGAGCCGCATGTGTTGCCAAGAGTCGTTACGGAAAACACTCCAACTCTGACGACGTTCCGGCTTGCTCTAAGGCCAAAGTCCACAACCTAGATGCGCGGGTAAGTTGCTGGAACGGCCCTGGCTTCCTTTCACGGCGTGTCAGTCTCAGCTGCACGTTCGTGAGCCGTATCGCAAGTCCAATTAGAACGACGTTTCGTCGTTTTGAAACTTGTCATATAGTGTTTTGGCGTTTTTTGCATCGATTGATGGACGCTTATTCCTGCGTACTTACGAGCCAGTATATATCCTCAGCCTCAGATTGAAAATCTTGGGCCGCTTCGTTTTCTCATCTTTCTTCCTCCTTCGCCCTACTGCGCTTTCCTTCCCTTCCTTTCTTCTCCACTCTTTTTTTGGTTCCATGTTCCCTCCGGTTCGGTTTCATGATCACGAATCGTGCCTCGACCCCGAAAGGTGGCGTTCCATCACTTTGAAGTTCCATTTGCGAACATTGCCAAGTACGTGACGTCCTTTTCTTCTTTCCTGCTCTCACTTTCCGCTCTCACAAAGCACAAACACCGACTCACAGATGTGCCTCTTGCCCCCAGGTGATCGCCGAGTACTTTTCGCTGGAGCACTGCCTGGCGGGGCTTGCTTTGCTGACGAGCCGGCTGTTCGGCATGGCGCTACGCGAGGTGCCCCTAGCCCCTGGGGAGGGCTGGGCCAACGGCGTGCGCAAGTTCGTGCTGACGCACCAGGATGAGGTCAGCATTACTGCCTGCCAACTTGTTTTATTGAGATGCGTGTGCATGGGATGTGGAAAGTGTTTGAAAGCAGGGTGACGACTTGCTGCAGGTTATCGATTTGTGTCAGTCAGGCGTTTCAAACAGTCAGGCGTTTAGGAATGCCTGATAGCTCATTGTAGATGGGGTGTCCTTTCTGTTCTTCAATCTCTGTTCTTCATCGGTTTCGTTATGCACCTCCCGCAGTACTGCGCAAGGTTACTGAGCTGTGTCCAGGAAGGAGTACAAAGTGAATTTGTGGATCACTGTCGAAAGACCGGATCTGGTAAGTCTTTGGACAAGCGAGGCGGACGCATTTTCTGGTCACCTTTTGGCTACGGGGAGTTAATCCCTCACGCCCGAAGCATGAGACTTTGATTGATATTGTGACAAATCGAAACCTAGCGACTTTGTTTGCAGGGCGTGCTTGGCGTGATTTACCTGGACCTCTTTCCCCGCACCGGCAAGTACACGCACGCGGCACACTTCACGCTGCGCTGCGGGCGCAGGCAAGGCGACCACGACTGGCAGCTGCCGGCTGTGGCGCTCGTCTGCAACCTGCCGCCCCCGCAGGTCAGATTTTTCGTCTAATTTCTCAGTACCTCTGTTCCTCGAAAGTTGTGTGCTTCCATGCTTTCTAGATCCCATGCTTCCTCTTTCAGGTCCAATCTTCATACGTTGCTAGCTGTTTTGTGCTTCTCGTTCCTTTTGAGCGATATTCCTTCCCGTGTGAGTTTTGCTGCAGTTTGGTTCTTCTGTGTTGCTCAGAAGTCTCTGTCCTTCCTTGTCTTCTCTTACGTCCTCTCTTCTCCGCCTCAACGTTTGCTTCTAACTTCGGGCCGGCCGTTTCGATCGTTCGCTGCTTACGTCTTCCGTTTTTCGACTCCTGATGGCCTTTCCTTTTGTCTACTTTGAAACGGGCATGGTCTTTAGCCGAGCAGCATCCGAATTCGGCATCTTCTCTTTTCTCACGTCCTGACGTCGTCCTCGTTCTCTCTTCTCTCCTCTCAGAACGGCGCCCCTTCCTTGCTGAGCCACGGCGAGGTGGAGACCATGTTCCACGAGTTTGGGCACGCGCTGCACACGCTGCTCTCACGTACGGTGAGCCTTCCATGCTGACATCAGCTGTCTCTCTCTTGCTGACGTCAGCACCTGTTTTTCATTTCGGTTCTGGAAGTGGTAGTCGAGGGCGATGATGAAGCCGCTCATTCTTCCACGAGTCCGTGAAGTGCCTGCGGACGTCAGCAGTACTGCTCGTGATGACGTCAGCGGTTCCTGTTATGGTTTCTCGTTCAAGGGGTTCGGCGGTCTGAATCTTTGAACCTGGGCGAGCCTGCTCTTGCTGTTACATGGCAGTGGGCACACACTGCTCTTTAAACTTTGGTCTTCCTGCCTCTTCCTGCCTCAGGACCTTTGTCTGATGATGTTGGATGTTGACACATCTTCGTCTCCTCCCTGAAGTTTCCTGATGCCACTGTTGAGTACCAGACAGGCACCTGGAGCAAGCTCAAAACTGTGGAAATTCCCTCCAAGTTGCTCTTCTCGTCTGGTGACGATTCCCTTTCAAACCCGACTCTTTGAAATCCTTATTCGGTCCTTTCTTTCTCAGGAGTACCAGCACTTGTCGGGCACGCGGGGCAAGCTCGATTTCATAGAGACGCCCTCGAACCTGCTTGAGTTGTTTGTGGACGATCACCGCGTGCTGCGCCACTTTGCGCGGCACTACTCCACGGGGGAGGCCATTCCGCCCGAGGTCGTCTCCGGGCTGCGGCAGAGCAAGCGCATGTTCTCGGCGATGGACCTGCAGGTTCAGGTGAGTTTTTTGCGGGGTTAGCGAGGAGGTTTTTGTAGGGTTAAGAAGGGAACTTTTCGCAAGGTTAGGGGGAACGTTTTGTGCCGGGGTAAGAGAAGGGGGTTTTCTGCAGGGTCGGAAGGAGGGTTTTGTGGGGTTTAGCAGTTACTTCTTCTGCAGGTGTTAAGGGAAGGGGGCTTTTTGCGAGTTGATAAGGAACTTTCGCTGTACGGAATATGGGTACGCCTGCAAACCAAATTTTCCGTGGGGCTGGATTAGATATGGAACACAGTCCTGAGCCTAACTGGCACTTGTCGGGTGCGGTCTGCCTGCTTCCGACCGAGCGCGCTTACAGTCGCTGCTCAAAGGCATGCGTGCTGTCTTTGTGTTTAGAACCTCTAGCGTGGCTCTGTGAGTGTCAGACTGTTAACAAATTGTTGGATTCGAAGCCTATACCTCCTTTTCGATTCAGAGCTTTCCATCTTGCCCGAGAAACTCACCACCCTGTGCTGAAGAAAGGGAGTTCTGTTCTGCTGCGATGTCTAGGATCGCCACGTGACAATCCAGAATGTTCTCACGCTTGCTGGGCTCCAAGGCTATACCTCTTCCTTCGAATCAGTGTCACCAATTCCGCCCCCCGAGAAACGCACCAATCCTACGCTGGAAAGAAGGAGCTTTCTTCGCCTGCGATGCTTAGGATCGCCATGTGAAACCTGGGCGGTTGCCTCTGCAGGTCGTTTATTCGTTGATGGACCAGGCATTCTTCGGTCCTCAGTCGGTTGGCGGGGTGGACACGACAGCGGTGATAGCGCAGTTGCAGGAGCAGCACACGCCGATTGGCCACGTGGAGGGCACGTGCTGGCAGGCGCGGTTTAACCACCTGGTTGGTTATGGAGCAGGTGGGCGTGCATTTGAGTCCTTGACTGACTCGTAACCCATTATTAACCACGTAGTTTGCCTTGCAGGAAGTCAGTGGGTCTAAAGGTGCTAGGCCGCCCTAAGAAAACAAGATGCGTAACGAATGGAAAGTCTGTGTACTTGCCTGTAGCTCTCGTTCTGGATGAGGCGAAGTCGTCGGGTGGGGGTGCTTCCGGGTCACGTCTCGCCGTTGGTTTTACAACTTTGCCGACCTTGTTCTGCGCTTTTGGAAAAGCTGCGTCATATGAAAGTTACCACGGGCACGAACTGCTCAAGCACGATTAAGGGCAAATTACGAATCACTCAACCTTGGAGTTAGTCAGGTTGAGTTTGGTTGAAGCTCTCGCTTAGAACGGACGTAAAAACCATCAAGCGGGGCCTGGTTCGCTGATAAGATTCGTTGGCAGTGACAATTGATTTCTGGGGGATTCCTGTGCAACTGTCCTCGCAGGGGCTGATGTAAGGCAGTCCGCTGGGGCCTGCATATCGCATGAGGATTGAGGTACCTGATTCCAGCTCACAGATTATGCGATCGTCTCGTACTACGCAGATTTGAAGTTACGAAGTTTCTTCTTTCTGCCCTTGCAGGTTACTACAGCTATCTGTATGCCAAGGCGTTCTCGTCCGAGCTGTGGGCGCAGTATTTTGCCGCTGACCCGCTGAACCGAGAGGCCGGCGAAATGCTCCGAAGAGACGTTTTGCAGTATGGTGGGTCGAGGGATCCCCTCAGGATCCTGAAGCATGTTCTGGGGGAACATAGCATGAAGGAGACTGGTTCGGGGGGCATTGTACCAAATACGGAAAGCATGATGATCAACTACGGATTGTAGAGCCGAGGGGAAATGTCATCTGTATAATAGAGTCAAGGTCGTATTCAGGGGTTTCGTCGAGCACGTAGGAACACGGATGATTGCAAGGTGGTGTGTGCGGGCGCCATCTCCGATGTACTTCTGACAGAGTGTCGTTGCTCGATACGGTCAGGTCACGTTCATCCCGATTCAAGCGGTGTTGCAGCACGGTATTACCTTTATCCTGGGTTGCTCGATGCAATCTGATGGCTATTGTCTTGCAGTAACGCGAATTGTCGTGACCAAGTTCATGTTCCTGGTGTGTTCCTAATTTGTCCACTTCTGCTGCCATTCATTCAGTCCATGTGAGAATTAAGGATGGTGAGCATGCATTTAGGGATGTCACACTGGGGGCGCGCCCAGGCCCGATATCGGGCATGCTGTTATCTTGCAAATTTCAAGCACGCGATGTTACAGAGTCGCCCCTGAAAGTTGCAACAGCTTTGGCTGTTTCGATGGGTTTGAGGATATTGGACACAGGATCTATAGTGCAGAAATTACAATCTTATGGCAATTGATACTTCGCCCTGCGCGAGCCTCAATACTTTTTTGGACGCACCATGTAAGGTACTTTCACTGGGTTCCACAAGTCTCTTGGATCGAGTCCGCCGCATATTCAGCGTCCTTACTTCTTGTCGCGCTAGACAAGATGATCAACCATACCGCCTGTGGAGACTGGACCAGTCGAAAGTTTTCCAGACATGGAGCGAACATACCGTCATTTGGCCGGACATGTTCACGAGAGGGACGTGTGGCGGCGGCAATCTCGCATGGACGTTGTGAACTGCTGAATCGAAAATGCAGCCTGTCCTCAACGATCACATTCTGGGCAACAGACTCTCAGTCATTGTGCACGACTGCGCAAACAAGTCGTGTGGATTTGACGCTTTGTTGAGCCGACAGATTCGACACCCCTCCAGACAAGCAGCAAGCTCGCAACCAGGCGCGGACTGCAGAATTATTGGGGGGTTCGTAGATCTAGTCTACGGGCATCGTGTGGCCATGGTGGCCTCTTCCGACACCTTGGTCGCAGCGGAAGCAGGCTTGAACGTAAAGAGGACCTCCTGCACGGAAGTGGTTTGTATAAACATCGATTATACTCGACTTTGACACTCTGCCTGGACGCTCTTTGAAAAGAATGGAAATGGATACTGAAACACCTGTGTTGTCAGGATCGGGCAACGAAGATGGTGTAGCAAATAAAGACTAAAGATCCAGGTGCAGAAGGACCCTGATGAATCAGACATACAACGTCCCAGATTTCCAAGGGTTCTCAGTACGCCGTAACTCACCTGAAAGTCAGTGATGGAGGTGCTTCGAAGGCTCGTGAGCTTCTCGTCACTGTTGTGCTGGCCCACTTTTGCGACGGCTTCCCTGACTGGCCGCATCGCTGCTGCTCTGCATATGGTCCGCAGGTCGGAACCACTGCAAACATGCTTGAGAGGTCAGGCACGGGCAAGTAACAAACAAATTTCTAATCAATTTCCTGCTGCTAACAATTTCAGTACCTTCAGAAGCTCCAAGGAGGATAGTCCAGTCGATTGGACCAGACTGCCACTGAACAAGGGACAACCTTTTCGCAGTCAATGCTGTAATCTTAGAGTCGCGTGCTCTTATTGGATCTCTCACCTGAAGCCCTCTGTTTCCTCCGATAGATAGCTGCAAACGACACGTATGATGCCAGGAATCAATGTTTGTAGCCTTTGCAACAATCCTATTCAAGCGCGATTTATGACAACCACTGCGCTGTCAAGTGGAGCAGGTTTGACATCAACCTTCTAGCCTGAGAAAGTCAGCAGGTACCAAAGTAATGAGCGGGTTCGGCAACAGCACCTTAGCTCGGCATCGGTAAGCTCGGTGTCAATCTCCTTGAGGTAATGCTGCACAATGCTCTGTCTTGTCTTCGCATCGGGCAGAGGAACCTGTATTCAAAAGCTTCTCATAAGGACTGCAGTTCCAAGGCGACACTGTAATACAGAGAGCTCGGGAGCTGATCAAGATTGCTTTCGACAAGTGTGTAGTTTTTAAAGATCTGCATTTTCCGGCATGATTGCCGAAGCGAACACCTGAGATGCACTTAGTCAGATCAGTTTCTTACGTCGATACGCGTTCCGAAGCGCCTCACCAAGGCTTCTGCAAGCTACAAAGTTGTCAATTGGTCAAAAGGTTTTGCTTTACCGCTTACTAGTCAAAGTAGCAGATTGAAAGGAATCGAAGAATTTTGCCGGCATTTATAGATGTCAGCTCATGCCGAAAGAAGCGCTAATTGCAGAGAATAACTTTTTGTAAGTTACCGTCCATGTCCTGTATCCGGTTTGTCGCTGCTACGACATACGTGCGGTCTGAAGCGTCGATCTGGCAGGTACGAGAGAGTCAAAGCTCCAGATAACAAATAACTACGCAGGGATACTTCTCCAGGAAATCGTGCTAGGTGGCGACTGACACCATCTTGAGATGGTCAGGAGCTTCAATGGACAGGCGCCTTGACCTATGGATCCATTGAAGAGGGCTTCGACACAACAGCAACGAGACTCTTGAAGAGCATGAGAGCTCACCTGGTTCAGCAGAAGCTGCACGGAAAGAACATACAGAGTCAGGCGGCGAGCGAGAGTTGTGGAAGGTTCTATCAACATCTCAAGAGGTCAGATCCGACACTCCCAATCTCACAGACGTCTACATGCTCTTGGGGAACACACGGGAGACGTTCAGAGAATTGTAAGTCGCAGGCGGTCCCTTACCAACAACTCGGTTAGAACCCTTCGGCAGGCGGGATCGTCACCGCCTGAACGCCTCGATCCTACCGAATCTATCTCGTCAAAGAAGATGATCGCGGGGCTGAGCTGTCGAGCTAGCTCAAAAATGCCTTTTAACGTCCTGCTAAAAGTGGAAGTCGTTCGTAGTGAGCATTCCCACACTCAACGGCAAAGCCGTACCATGCTGGAGCCGAGATCAAACGCGCACGCCTTCGTCAAAAGACTTTTCTCCACGCATTACGAGGACGGCAGAAGCTCGCGGGATCCTATGCGAGTTCGAACTCTGTGAGGGAAGAAGCATTTGACGAGCACCACAGGCGGAAAGCGTAGTTACTTTCTTGGTACATCCTACCTTTCGCTCTCCCCTGTCCATTTTGAAAGAAAAGTGGACTGCAAGTAAGGCGAAAAAGGAATCACGTGGCCGCGACACTGCAAAACCTTGAGCAGATTGGTGCCGCAAATTTGACAGGGACGCACAAAGATTAGTCTTCATGAGAAAGCTCTTTGACTTTACCGGTGAGACAGCTCTTTAAACTTACCGGAGAGACGACGAGGAACTTGAACCTGCAAGTACGATGGAGAAAGGCCGTGACCACGAATAAAAGAAGAAGTGCGACACATGGTAAGCTTGTTGAACCATCCGGAAAGATCTGCGAATCCTATACAAGCATTGCGAAGGACCTTGAACACACCTAACCGCCCAATTCAGATACGACTATTCAGAGGAGTCTTACCCGACTTGTCCGGCCATCGCTTCAGCTGGAGGTGCAAGAGGCAAGGACGTATCAGTCTCAACATATGGTTATGTACCTAGCGGTTGTCCCCAACCAAGCTAGGTTCTGAAAAGAACATTTCTGCTTTCTCAGGAACGAAAAGAAATCAGGACGGTATTGGTTAAAAGTTGTCCATGTGGAACAAAGCGGCGTCCTTTCAAACTCACCTATGAGGGTCTTTCCTGCAAGAGAGAAGTACGCAGTGTTATTTATCACCGCATACTCCCTGAGCCGGACATAAAAACACAGCAGGCTATCGAGGGCAACATCAATAACATGGTACTTCGCACGTTCTGAAAAGCACAGTTGCCAGAAGTATCACCTGTCCCCGGCGGTCCGTGGAGTAAGAAATTGTTCGGGGCAGCTCTGATGCCTGCGACGTCGATAGTTTCAGTTTCGGGCATCTGAGGGGAAAACTCACGAAAACATTCTGATTACAGGATAATACACAATTTCAAACAAAACTTGTGACAGTACCGTTTGAGTAAGGGTAATCAGCAGATTTGCGCTCAGATTCTCCTTGACATGTATCTCAATCCTCCCGTTGAATGTCAAAGCCAGCAGGTTCACTAACCTTTGAACAGATTTGGGAACCTCAACGGCACAATGAAATTTTCTTGGAGAATTTCTTTTACTCCGTCCTGCATTGACGGAAAAAAACTTCTGCGTGATTCAGGTCAGAAATATAGCCCTAATCCAGATGATTGTCGCCCGATATCAAACGGATTTCCCGCTGCAAAAGAGCGAGATGAGAGGTGCCGCGATTTAAAGCAGACACACTTGGAACGTTGAAGGACGGAACCTGGACAAACTTGGTCATGTTACTCACCAGTCCCGCAACGTCAGTCCATAGGTAACGGGCCTCTCGCAGACAGCTTTGCTTCAAAGATGAAATTAGATTGTGACCTCCGACATCCTCTCTGGAAGGCACTGAATACGGAAGGACAAACTGATCAGCGCGATGGTCCTGTGGAGTATGAAACCATCATCGGTATGGTTCACCAGGTTTGAAGGGAAGAGGTTTTCTTTAAGGTTCTACAAGCGTTCAAAACAAACTCTCGTTCTTATACTACAGACCAATACCCTAAACGCTAAAAGTTCTATAAGGCTAACCTTCCAGATTGTTGCTCTCATGCTGGTAGCATTCGGAGCTGTCAGATCCAACGGCAGGACAAGATTGAGCGTCATCGCATAGGACTCTTGTCCTGATGTCCCTTATCCTGGACTTGTACGTGGCAATGGTCCCAAGCAGGGCGTTCTGCATCGACATAACGATTAGCATCAGCATGTCAAGCTTCTAAGAAGGGGTTCAATCCACATATCTGCTCTGACATTCTCCACTTGACAAAACCGCTTCGCTTGGTCTCGACCTCATGCAAAAAGTGACTTCTTCAAGCAACACACATCTCCACTGGAAGCTCTGGATGGATTGTAGGTAATGTTCAAGCCTTACCTCCCGTACGCTATTCTGACAGGACCCCATGCTCAGGGCAAATTGTACGTGCTTCATTGCGGCTGTATAGTTGTCAATCCTGGCAAGGCGTGAGTTACACTGGTTGAAATGAGTTGAAAAAGCTGATTCGAAAGCGTACCAAGTTCCTCATTCAAAGACGAACAGTTATATTGGAAAATGAAGGCAAGAATGTATGATGAGAGGCACCAATGCAGCCATCCAAAATATCACACTTGTCATGGATGTGAAGTGCCTGCCTCTATCATTCCAGTCTGAAGTCCTTTGAGCTATGAGCACTATAAGCACTATAAAGAATCTTACGCTTCCTGAGAGTCTCCTCGATCCTCGGCTTCAAGGGCGCTGATGGCTCTGCGGTCGTATTCGAGAGCATTGGAAGGAGGAATTTAAGACAAGTTCATGCATCCAGGGTGACCTGTCCTTCTTTCTTGCAGTCTATATATACGCAAACGGAGGAAATCTTATGCAGTGAGCGAGACCGGCCGGTAGCCAGAAGTCGGGCATTTTGGGATTCTCTTGTCAGAAAAGCTGAGGACTCGCGTTTGACTTACGCTCTCAAAGCCTGCTGTATGAGCGAGCTCGTGCAGGAGTTTCGTTTCCTCTCCATCTTCTGAAGACGATTTGCCGATGAGGATCCTGAAGCCTCTAAGGTTGTATGCTCACCCGGGCTGGCATCTCAGCGTTCAACGGTAGCCAGAAGACTACGTCCCGCCTGGACAACACCCTTACACTCAGCTTGAGATTGGATGGGTCTTCATGGCTCATCAAGAGCCACCTCCGCTAGCTCTATCACCCCCCTTTTGCCCTTTCGAGTCTATGCATTTTGGGACTCCGTTTTGGCTGAACCGCTCGAAATTAACACCGTCCCGCAGATATTCCGACTTGTAGCACAGATGAGCTTCAAAACTACTGAAAAACAGCAGACTTTTTCTTTCTTCGAAGGAGACGAGGCTGCGGTCTGACGCCAGGTGGCATCAAATAGTCGGCGCTATCCCTTTCCCTTGTCCTCCCTACTCAGGCCCCTACTGCAGTTGCCCCTGGTGCGCTTACTCCATTGTAAGCTGATCTTCAGACCAAAGTACTGATGTAGCTAGCTTCCGCACTGACACTGCACCTCGTCTCGAGTGACATTCGTTTGCAGTGCGTAAGGCCAGCTTATTGGTCTACTCAGTCTGCACCGTACGCGCGTCCTGACAATCCAGATTTTCGCTGCCACTGACACTCAACCAGGCGCATCAGTCTGATACGTCCACAACGCTGAGACGAGCTCGTGAGCTCAGCGCGAGCAGCTGCATTTTGCCGTTTGCATGTCGCCAGCTCAAGCTTGACAAGCGCGGCAACTTGGGGCAGCACCGTCTGCAGAAATGGACGAAGTTCGAGCAACATTACATACATTACAGTGCTCGCCTCATGCTGGCTTGCACCCAGATGATAATACTTCAGAACCATTTTACAAGGCACATTGTTATTTGGCTGTCCCTAAGAAACCTCTTTGAAGCATTGTAGGGGGACAAATGCCGCAACGAACTGGTTCATAATAGACGCATCAGCTAAATCAGGCATCTGAGGGAACCGTGCTGTAGTTAGTCTAAGAACGCACGTATTTAGCCTGCCACCTATGAAACGTCCATAGCATCAAAGTCTTACATGTTTGCCAATTTTGCCATGTAGGTGCTCTGTTAGAGACTTACGAAACAGCTTGTCTAAACTTCCACATAGATCATTTGAAAGGCAATCTGGACACGTTGAATAACTTTCTGTCTTCTTCTTCAAAGAGGGCTCTGAAACATACTGCGATTGAGAGATGGCGCGCCTTCGCGGCACCCGGAGACATGCAGTGTACAAGCTCACCTTGGAAATCCTTCTTCTTGTATCTTTCGTAGTTCTGGGTCTGCTGGTGGGGTGGGAAGTAAGACTGATCTGCTCGGACACCTTGCTTTTCCGAAATGCTAAAAGCTTCATTGAACGGAGAATCCACGGACAGCAGACCTCGACAGAAGAGAAAAGCGGAGTCAAGGAAATCAGCTCTACAGAGAACCCAAAACGATGGATTTTGAGATTCAAGGTGAGTGCAGTTTCTGCTTCGTGTCTTGTCAGCATAATCTATTGTACTCCATGAATGGGACCATCTAGCCCCAACTCTGCTTCAATATTGGTGATATATATATGAACCTTTTTCTGGTCGTTCCGTTCCAAGAAGATGATAAGAAATGGTCCAGGCCCGTAAACTCTCAGCTTTGGATGCCGTTACGTCGTAGTCTTGCGCGAGCAAGTACTGAGATTGATCTGCGTATCATCTCCTTGGAGTCGGAACCCTTAATTTGGGATTTTCAACGCAGGAGGATACTCTTGCAGAGGACCTTCCTGACATCTGCCGGTACGAGCTCCATCCAGGCCAGTGCGTTTATGTGTTACAGTCTTTGAACGCGATAGTGTACGAAGGCCACGCTGATGATCTCCCCAGCTTGAGTCGGCGGCTAGAAGAAGTTCTGGACTTCTATGAGGAGGATGTAAGCTTGTCCACCCAGGAACAGTTGGTTGCCAGCGGTGCCGCTGACTTAGACACTACACAAAGCTTGAGGTACGGGAACGGTTTCATGCGGGAGGGGACACTCAAAGAGGCGACACGGGGAGGTGAGAAACTTTTGCTCGGTAGAAAGAAGCGAGTAATCAAAAGAGAGGTTCTCGGAGGCTCGAAGATCCAAGATATTAGAACTTGAGAGAAGCTGTGCACAGCTTGTCTGAGCCCACAGTAAGCAAAGCTTTGAAAGGATCTTATCGTAGTGATGTCCTCTGAAAGTAAAGAGCGTTGTGGAAGCTTGTTCTGCTTTGAGCTTTCTCATTGTGGTGAAGGTTTCTGGAGCTTCTCCTCAGATTGCATTTTGTGATGCTCCTGACCGTCACTCATCGCAACAAGAACTTTTTGCAGAGGGCGTACACATGTACTTCTTGGATACGGGACTGCTATCGTCCCACAGGCAAGTTAACAGCTTTATTTGTGACGTAAAGATTTGCAGATTCGTCGCCTTGGAGACGAGGTCGATATCAATGGGGACGAGTCACTATCAGAGTAGAACATCGATCAAAGGCAGGATATATCTCAAAGTTTTGAAAGAAAACAATTTAGCTTTTTTAAGCGCTTCTGCCTTGCCGGGTCAAAGCAGAGTATCAAAGAAACTACGACTTGAGGATCTGAAGCTGTCTTCTCAAAACTGGCGCTCCTAGGAAAAAGGTCAGAATCCTTCAATCCTAAGAGATCCACTCTCAAAATGCAGGGAGTTCGCCGGTCGCGTCGGCTCCGCTTGGGACGCCATCCTGCAGAAGCGCGGTGTGCCACGTGACTGCCACGGCCACGGGACGCACGTGGCCGGGATCGCCGCTGGCAGCTCATATGGCGTGGCACGTGGCGCTATCGTGCATGCGGTCAGGGTCGTGGACTGCGAAGGGCGCGGCCGCGCGTCGGACCTGCTGCTGGGCTTGCAGTGGGTGCTCGAGCAGCAGCACAAAGTGCACGCAGAGAAGAAAGAGCGAGCAGTGGTCAACGTGTCTCTGGTGTGTGTGAATTTTGTTTCACGATCTGGATGCAGGTTTTGAGGTTTGTGGAATTGGGACCCATCCGTTCGAGACGTGAATAACGATTTTCTTCTCCCAAGTCTCAACAGGACTCCGGTCAATCTTTGAAGCCGAAGAAGATGGATTCGTAGATTGCTTTTTGAGTGTTTTCAAAGGATTCGAGGTCAGGAAAAGAAACGGTTTCGCCCTTCGTTTTCAGCGTTCTTCGTACTTCTTCAGTTTCCAATTAAAGGGTCCATAGCGTTTTCCGTCTACCCAGCAAACCTCTCTTTCCCGAGATACTACAGGGAGCGAAGATGATGCAGTCGATCAACGACGCGGTAACGCTCCTCCACCGCGCCGGCGTTCCCGTTACGGTGGCTGCGGGCAACCTCAACGAGGACGCTTGCGGCAGCTCCCCGGCTTCCGCGTCCTCGGCCGTCACAGTCGGGGCGTTCGACCGGGACAAACAGCGCGCGTGGTTCTCAAACTTTGGCGGGTGCGTTGACGTGTTTGCGCCCGGGGTGGATATCAGGAGTGCTTGGCCTGGGTGGGAGGAGGATGACGTCGAGGGGGAAGCGATCCTGAGCGGGACGTCGATGGCAGCACCCCAGGTTGGTCGTTCCGAACTTCGCTGGCAAGCATTTTGAGTTCCTTAGCTTCGAGTCTGTTTTCCATTTTAAGGATGTCCAAACTTGGAACTCGCAACTCCATTAAGCATGAGAAGCAGGCCAGTAGATCGGCTTATGGGCTTTTTCCCTCGGCTTTCAGGTTGCACCTTTACCAGCTTGATTGAAAGAGCTCCTTCAATGTCTGCGATTTGCACATTTTGCCATGTGAAGTCCAGATAACTTCCACAGAATAAGTTTTCGATACGCCGTTTGGAGGCCCTCACCACGAGCCAATCCGCAAATGTGCGAATGACGAAACTGTATCCAATGTAACGCGTTCTTTTCCGACTCTTCCATCCCCTATGTTATTGTGCGCTTTCTGCCCGTGAATAAATAGTAGCGTCGCAGCTCAGGTACACTTCCATGAATCGTCAAAGGCAGCGTAATTCTCTCCAATCGATTCTGACGTCTCCTTTTGGGTCTGTTTTGATGGACAGGTGGCCGGCGCTCTGGCTCTGTACCTGGAGCGTTACCCCCTCACGTCGGCCGACCATGCAATCAATGCAGTCTTAGGAAATGCGACAGAGGACTTCGGAGAGGCTAGCAAATGGTTTGCTACTTCATAGGAACCTAGGAAACCTCGAAAATATACAGGGAGAAGGTTTCATGCCGTTTAAATCTGCTAGAACCGTTCGCAGAAAGAGGATTTGTGCGGCCTTTCTCGCACCCTAGGGAACATACAAAAACAAAGAACCGTAAAGGCGACGAACCAATCTACTTCAGAAGCTTCGCCATCACTTCAGTGCACAGATGCTAGTCAAATCTTAAGGCACATCTTGTGCCAGCCCACGTCGAAGCTGCCACGCGGTCGGCACCACCAGACACATAGGTGTCACAATTGGGAGACGCTGGCAAAAGACGTGAAAAGATGGCCCTTAATTTGAATTCGTACTTGTGGTCGAACAGAACTGCCTTTCTTTGGCTCACTGCATTATAGTCACTTGCTTCCCATTTACCGAGCATGGTTTGGATTGCGCGCAGGCTTGGCAATACCCTATTGCCAGCCTGCTGTCATCAGCCGTTGATTTAGTAAAGGCCCTCATTGGCGCCGGCGGAATAGAAATCGGTACATCAAATGCAACCGTCGGTCTACTTCCACCAGTACTAGTGCTTTACCGGTGATAATGGCCTTGTACGTTGAAGATGACTGAAATCGAGCGCGCCGATACGATCTCTTGAAGGTTGTTTATCTGCTTCAGTGCATCACATACGTGCGAACGTCGGAAATTGAGCAACTCGTGGCTATGAAGATCGCACGCATCAGTTCCCTTCTCAAACAATCAAGCTTTACATTTGTAAAGTTGCAAGATCCACAGCCAAAACACCGGCCCGTGCTACAGAATCCTTAGAAGGGCACAAATGGTTCTGATCAATATTGGCAGTCTCCCTGTGTTTGGCGGTGCCTACCCGTCGCCAGATCCAATCAGTCTTGTAATCAAACGATCTGCCCCCCAAAAATATGGTCGCCAGTGATCAGCCGCTACCCTAACTGAGTGGAATTGAATTGACTGTCTTCTGCTCCCATCGCAGCCAGTGTCACAAAACATTGCGTAGGTAGACTCTTCTTTAGTCAACGAAGCTAACTCAATCAAACCAACGAACAATTTATAAGTCCATGGATTAGTACGTTAGCATAGCAATGCTAAGCCTGCAGTCGCTGAACCGCTAGCTCTTTAAAGTAAATAGGACGCGACTTTCAACACTATTTAGAGAAACCTTAAAACAAAGCCCAATCTAGACGTTGTCTTCGGCGGACAATTGACTGTCATTTCCCGTCGCGATGCTGTCCGCTGCAGTCTCGACGCTGTGAGGCGCGGCCCGCGCGCGCATGCCGGACATTTGGACCGGCTTCTCCATTTCGGACGTAGGGGGGGTCCGCACGCTGGCATCTGGTCCCCCTTCAAGGTCGCCGTGCACTTCTCCCTTGATCATCTCGGCGAGGAAGTCCTGCTCGAGCCCTCCGGTTATGGCGGGGTGCGTATAGGCGGCACGTGTCGCCTCCTCGAGCTTCCAGTCCGGGAAGCGCGTGGTATCTGCGGCATCCTTCGCTTTCGCGCTCTGCATAGGACAGCATTGCGCTAAGTCAAGCTCTGAAGGTTTTTGAACGAGCGCGAAGAAGTTGCTCAGCCGTGCAGATAGCCGTTCAAAAGACTCATACAGGCTTCTTCATCACAGAAGAAGGATGGGAGAAAAGTAGGCACATTGGTAACTATTACGCGATCTGAACGATTGGTTGATTTGGTTGATCCGAATGATTGAACAAGCAAGGATTCTTTTTGCTCGAAGCCGCCTTGAGGGCTGGCACTCCAGATTCCTGCGGATGCTGATCCGAACCTTCGAGCGTTGGCAGACTGAGCAACTCTCTCCACAACGTCTCCACGCACCAAGGACTCTTCCCGCCATTGCTTTCGGACATGCTACACAAGGCTCACGAAAGTAACCTAGCCGATCGGCGCTCAATCTCGTCGGCGGATCGTCCCAACGAAAATTGTAGGGTTCTTCACGGCTTACCTCCAATGGTGAATTTACGAAGTTGGCCTCGAACCGCTCCTTGAGCACTCTGCCAAAGAGCGCCGTCATGATCGGAAGGGGGATGGCGAAGGGCGCCACTTTAGTCGCGAGCTTGAGTGAGAGGACGCCCAAAAGCGTCAACTGGGCGACCATAAGCGCGGTGATGATACGCGATGCGACGAAGGGCCATAAGCCGGCGGCGCTCTCGAACTCGCGCTCGTACACGTTGATGATCTGGTTCTTGTAGACGACGTAACTGGAGGAGCGAAAAAAGTACGACTTCGAACTCAAAGGAAGGAGTTGGAATGACAGAGCTCGTGACCGGAAATCGCAGGAAAGGGGGCGTGTTATCCGGCAGGATCTCAATCCGGATGCAGCTCGCTGTCTAACAATCTACAAAAGCCAAGGGATAGTGCCAGAAAAGCTGAACGGGATCAGAAAAGAGGAGGCGAGTGACCAAGAATGACAAGCCTCAAATCCGTACTACAACACACAGAAGAAGAGTAAGCGCAGATTGGACGGGCGCAGCCTGACTTGCGCGTATCACGGACCGCGTTAAGATACCTTTTCAGGAGGCAGAAGCTATTCAGAGCTCCATCGTGGGGGAGAGAAAACCTCTCCATGCCAATTTAATATTGCCCAGTCGCATTCTCAAAGCCTTTTTTTGGACCAGTTTTGTCGAAGGAAGGTCAACAGATATACACCCGCTTACCCCAGGACGAAGAAGAGCAGCAGGAAGGGCAGCAGGATGGGCGCGATCGGCGCATACACGAGGCCCAGCAAAATGTAGAACAGCAGGCTCGGCAGCTGCGCGAGCATACCACTGACGTCAGCAGCGAGGTTACTGACAATCTGAGCTGCTAGCAACCTGGTGGCTTCAGCAGAGAGACGGTTTCTATTAAGATCCACGCTCAACGGGAGTTCAGCTTAAGACAGAGGCATTTTCTAAACAAGCTTCGAGCAGTCGGGCCCTTATCTCAAAACCGAACTTGAGGCGGGACGCTCAAACGTGCAACATGTCAGAATGCAACCACGTTCGCTTGTTTGAGTACTTGCAACAAGTACAAGTACCTACTCTATCGATGCAAAGTCCCATCTGCCTTTGATGATAGCATGCGCAGGCACCAAGGGACCCATCCTTCAAACAGGATCAATCCACTCACAATCTCCTCGTACGCCAGCCCCGACAGGCCCATCGCCTTCTCCCGGTCCTTCTCCGTCGTGACCAGCAGCGCCACCTTGATGTGGTAGATGATGAGCGCCCACAGGCGGAGAAGTTCCGCCGGAAATCCGGCCCAGCCGTCCAGCATGATGTACGTGATGAAGAAACTAGACTTGGACGGAATCGCGTTGCCCAGCGTCTGCGGCAGGCTCGTCGGTTTGTTGATGAACGAGCGCAGCTGCTGGAAGAGCGACCCCGTCAGGATGGACCCGAAGAACACGTTCACCTGCGCAAGGGTCAGCGAAAGTCATCGCAACGGTGAGCGAGAGTTCTGGTTTGGGAGTCGAGGGCTAAGAGTCGACATTGGGGTTGGCATTTGGGTTTTGGGTTATGGCTTTTAGCTCTGGTTTTGGGTTCCACTTCGTATCCATGTGTGGCGACAATTTGTTGCGGGTTCTCGAGTGCGTGGGCTGGAGCGTCTGGGGCCCTGGAACTGAATCTTCGCGGCTTACGCTTAGGGATTCTTAATTGTGGAGGGTTGGGAGACCTCGAATCAAAGTCTTGAGAATCTCAGAGGCCGGGGATCGGAGGGGTCGGCGTCCCGCTTTCTCAATCAGGTTGGTTTTTTACGTAACTAAAGTCTTGTATCCAAGAAAAGGGGTAGACCACATAAAAGACTCCATTGACACTCTCGCAACTCAAGCACTAGCTTTACTCCAGTCTCCTCATCAGCCGCCAGAGCTGGGTTCACCTACCAGCTGCCTTCAGCTGGCGTCAACTGAACACAGGTTCCGAGACTCCAGTCGCCACGAGGTTTCCTTCAAACGGCTTGACACTCGCTGGTTGAAAATCGTACATCTCCAATGCTGGTGTCAAACCAATCAGTGTAAGTCCCGGTCAACCATTTGATACCGCTTTCCCAGCTTCTGGTGATACAGTTCGATGTTGGTGTCAAACCAATCACTGAAGGCTTCCCAGTCATCCCCTTGACACCGCCTCACCAGCTGGAAGTAGTACATCTTGATGCAGGTCTCCTTGATGATTCTGCTATTGGATGAGTAGCCCTCGAAGGTGGACATGGCCTTGAGCAGCGCCGGCAGAATCCACAGAAACAGCTTCAGCACCACGCCCGGCAAGAACCCGCTGATCAGCCCGCTAATGAACGGCCTGCGCGGGAAACGACGAGACGATGACGTCAGCATGTTGGGAAGAACGACGCAAGCATGAGTTTAGATATGCGTTGAGCGGCAATGGCAAAATTTACAGGAACAGCTTCAGCACCGCGCCCGGCGAGGAACCGCTGATCAGCCCGCTAATGAACGGCCTGCGTGGGAAACGAACGTCGTGAGAATGACGTCAGCATGCGGAGAAGCATAACGGAAACATGACATTGGACCGGCATGCGCTTGCGGAAATAAGCTTGAGGGGAAGGGTGGTTACTGGAAACCAACTGTGGACCGAGGCAAAATGCACTTAGGCTCGTCACTATTGAGCGTGACGTCAGCACGTACACTTCTTTGAAAAGGCAGCCCGCGATTCGGGCGCGTCTTCGAATCGAGATCAGCTGCAAGCAGAGCAAAGCAGCCACTTCGGACCTCAAGCCCAATTTCGCCCGCAAAGTCATACACAGCCATATCATCAGTCATGCGGGTGCCTGAAGATCATCCAGCCAAATGGAACACGCTGTTCGGATGCGTACGCGCTAGTAGGGGCGGGGTGTGGTGCGCCTACACGTCGACGATCTGCCTGACGGGCGTTCCGATGGACCGCACGCTGTTCAGATTGGCCAGCGACTGGACGATACCCACCGGGATGAGGTAGAAGAAGACCTGCGGAGAGGAGGGGCAGACAGCAAACCTTGACTTCGCGAAAGGAAAAGCTGCGTTGTTAGAGGTACGGTAAGGAAACGGCAAGCATTTCATTGCGCTGAAGTCCTTACGTTCTGTCCGGTTGCACAAGGGTCGAAAGGGAGCCACTATAGTGCCGGCCAGTGTGTAGCGACAGGTGAGAACTTTGTCCAGAGCGATTCGCAGGATTTAAAATGCGGGGCTGGCGATCGGAGCACTCTCCACAAGAATGACAAGTCCATTTCGGATTCAATGCTCATCGGGCGACGTTTTAAGAGCAGCAAGAGTCGAGAAGAACGGTTGCAGATTGACTGCTGCAGGGGTATCGAGCTACTTTTCTCTGGGCTATTTTCTTCGATGCAGGTTCGGTGGGATCAGCTCACGTGAAAGAAGACGGTCAAGAAGAGCGGGCGCAACTTGACTGCCACAGGGGTTTCGAGGTATTTCCTTTTGAAGCTTGGGTTCCATGCAGAGCCGGTGGTAACGACTCACGAGAAAGAAGACGGCCGTGCTGATGATAATCCGGCGAATGCTCTTCTGCCACTTGGAGACTCCCAGGTTGGACCATTGCACGTCTCGGGGCTCGGGAGCCATTTCCGTCACCCAAACCTGATGAAAGAAGATGAACGAAATGAGCGGAACAGCTCTCCTGCTTCTTCCCTCTGCGATCGGAAGCAATCAAGAGGGACACTACCTGACGGGCTAAGTATGTCCTCCTCGATTTAGAATGGGTGGAAGAGGCTCCGTGGTGTCATATACGCCGCGCCTCGCCTTGTAATTTTCACACAGATGAGCAGAGCGCACGAAAAAGCAGAGCGCTCGAAAGAGCAAGCATACGGAGGGCCAATAACCGGCTGTTCGAGAGCTTTCCATCGTCGAAGTTTTCAAGGAAGGACCTTCGAGAAGCGCTTTTCTCCATAAGACAAGACATGCCTCGTTCACAAACAGAATGAAACGCTAAGTCTCTCACCAAAGGGTTCGTCGCCAGCTGCGTCTGCGCCGCAATCGCGGCCGCCCACCGGTTTGTAAAAGTCACGAAGGCGGCGTTCAGATACCGATCCTCGCTTTGCTCCATGGCACGTGCCTCCTGGACCGTCTCGTCGGTGTGCTTCTCGAGCAGCCTGTCAGGGGACGAGTGTGAATACGGCGACAAGTGTGAATGAGGAAGGTTTGCGCCCGGAGTGTAAATGCGGTTTAAAGGGTGAACGGGTTTTTGAAAGGAGCGAGATGTGAGGGACCACCGACTTGACAACATGGTAAAAGGATCGACCCGAGGCGCACATGGAGAAGGTCAGTCAACTACGAAGGTTGCATCCAGTAAAGCAAGGTGTGATCTTGGACGAGGGCGTTTTAAGTGCACACTTTTCTGCTTTGCCAAGTAGGCTGATGCTAACGAACAATGACGAGTCTACGGAAAAGCTTTGCTTTGGTTTAAGCGCCTCAGACGGATCTTGCGTCATAAGCCGTTCGGCTGGGTAGGCCGTCCTTCCGATCTCCGCGTGCGGTAGCGCTGAATCCTTAAATTTCAGGCCACGTTCCGATTGAAAAAACTCACTTCTCATAGTGCCCAATCGCGTCGACCTTCGGACCGCAGAGCCCCAGGCAGCCGGTCCTCGTAGTGAGGCGCCGCTTGTCGCTTTTCCGCGCCGCCTTGATCCGCTTCGCATCCAGCTTGTTTGCTGCGGAAGAGGAGTTCGGCGTTTGATTTAGTTGGGTCTTGCGGCGACTGGAAAAGGCGAAGGCTCGTTGCTGTTGCTCAAAATCGGTGGATAAGCTAAAAATGACTAATGGGTACAGCTGGTGGTAACCAGTACACAGCTGCACCTGATAATCGGAGCAACCATGTTTGTATCCAACCGTACCTGGACCAGCGGTAGCAAATCTGGAGGGCGGGCGTCGACGGAAACGTTTGTGAGAAGTCAAGGAAAGTTCCATGGGCGCGTCGGTCGCAGCGGGGACGTTCCTTTATTCCCGTCTTCGCTTCATGCTTCAACAAGCCCGAAGGGGGGCCGGCAATCCCGTATTACTTCAGGGTTGACCAGAACACACTGAACTACAAAAGCGCGAACTACAAAGCGGATCAGCGCACCCGTGTCGTCCCGTTTCTTGATGAGCCTCCAGAGCGACTCGGCGTTGGTGACGGTGTTGGTGCCCGAAAAGTACTCCCCAAACTGCTCGCGGAAGAAGCGCTCCACGCGCTCGCGCGTGCTGCCCCGGTTGTCGCTGTGGGCCGGCGGAATCTGCGAGCAGTCAACACTCGAGTGTCAATCGAGTCTGGACACGTGCTCTGAAATCTCTGAATCTGGGGCATGTACAAGAAAGTGGAACTGCTGGTGAACTCAAAAAAAATCTTTGAGGCGGCAAGCTCCTCAAAAATTAAAGGATCCAGCGCGCTCTGAGCAATCGAGGGAACCTAGAAAATTAGATGGCGAACGTTGGGGTTCAATGCTGCTACGTTTGAGAGCAAGGCCCGGACGTCCTACAAACAGCCGGTGGCAACACTATTCCGACACAAGCCAGCTAAAGAAAAAGTTGGATTCTATTTCACGGGCCAATCAGACCCTGGTGATCTTATACAGCACCACACCCGGGCAGCCGTCGAGAGACTAACGACAGCACAGCCCCACAAAGCGTTCGCTCAAAGGGCCCGTGAATATTCGAACAGATGCTTGTCAATCGCGAAAGAGCGACCGAAACGACGGTGAATTCGTCGACGCGCACGATCACGCAATCCTACCCTCGTCTCTCTAGTTCCCCTCCTTTTACCCCAGGTCTCACTGTTTGCACTCTTCTGCTTCCCCTTCTGCTCACCTCGGTGGCAAGGACGGTAAAGTCCTCTGGATGTGGCGCCCCGTCTGCCATGTACTTGAGCCGCAGTCTCGTGATGGCGGCATACTCGGTCCACAGGCAGTAATAGGCCCAAAATGCGAAGAGGTAGCTCGACACCAGATGCGCCCACATCCTGTGGAGAGACCAGCGTCGTTACGTTTAGTGTCAACGCACGGGGTAAGGAATGAACTCGAAGAGATGATTGGATCGGAGTTGTGACGTTGTTTTGCGGCATGAGACAGGTCGAGTGCGAGAAACCCATGCTCGAAGGGGGTGCTTCAGAAGGGTCAACAAAAGACGACCTCTGATGCACTTGCTTGAGTTCCAACAGTTCCCAGGCCACCAAGCACCCAATACGAGTTTCTGACCGTGTGCGATTCAATTTCCGGTAGCGATTGCCATTGTTGTGCGCTGTAATTCACTGTTTCCGTGGTTCTCATGAGCAAATCGTGACCCTGGTAAGTAACAACTTGGCTCCCTAACCCGGTTCCAAATCGTAACCCACCTGGTGGACTTGTCCCGAACGTTCGAAAGGCTGATCTTGTCGAGCGTGTCGAAGCTCGACTTCGGGTTCACGGCCAACTGATAACTGCACACGAAAGCACAGAACGATGAAAACCTCTTCCGCTGAAAACCTCTTCCGCTTCCCAAATTGACAACTGCGAACGTATGCCTGTATTTGCTGCTGTCTAGATGTGCATCCTTGCAAGCTCACCGGTTCCACACGACGACATCGTAAAGGGACGACGACGATGCGTCTGCAAAGGCTGTCCAGAAGAACTGTGCAAGGATTTGTGCTCCGTCTCTTGCTTGACCGAGTCCAGTAAAGAGGACATTAAGTGTGCTCTTGTGAAGATTGAGGCAAAAGGAAGTTGACAAAGGCTTCACGGGTTCTTGCTTGACAAGGGCAGTTCGAAAGAGGGTGCTCGCCAGCAGAACATGAAGCATGGGATAGCCTTAAGAGGGACCAAATGCGGTAAGACTTCTGGCAGCGTCAGCGCAATGGGCTATTGATGAGGTATTTGGGCGGCAGGTTTGCGATTCTTCACAGGAGTTGTTTTTAAGGACTGGGGATCGTCAAATAAAACAAAGCTGGCACGGAATCCTTGAACAGGATTTGGAGCTTTGCGTCGCTTCGCGCCGAAAACCCCTAGCGAGCTCTTTGTCTTGTCTGCAGCTAGCTGTCCCCTCTCGAGTAGGTACCTTAAATTGGTCTGGTTGAAGTCAGCTTTCAAGGCGCTCAGAAAAGCGCTCGGCATTAAGCTGCACAAGATAGAAAGGCTCCCGTCGCATAGAATTGCTGAGTAATCCTGGCCGGTAGACCAGGACTTTCAAGCTGCTGGGCACTCACTCGACGTTGTGGTCTGTTGCATTGACGGGTATCAAGACCACCAACGCCCACAGCGTGATCGGCACAAACATCCTCAGACTGCAAGATGAGGTAGAGAGCTTGATTAGCACTGCTTTTCCAACGTGCGCGGAAATGCACAGGGTGATTCATCTGCAGCCTGGTTTACGACCACTTCAAGATCAGCAAGCACCCTCCCATTAGGCACAAATCCACACAATTACCAGAGATCAATGGGCCCATTATGTGTACCAAAAGCAGCCCATCAGCTTTCTCCTTCAACAACGATAGACTTTCATTAGCAACTCGTTTTAGGTTCTACCAACTTCAACACTCGGGATTCAACTTCTTCTTGCCCATATTTATTGCATCCACATTCCAGAGCCGCAGGGTGCCGCTTCATGGTCAAGTATACACTGCTTAACTGATCCTTTGAACTTCCCTTTCACCAGCTATATGCATCGATATCAGAGAAGCACTCGGTCCTTCCATTTTCTTTGCAAAGAACTGACAGTTTATGTGGCCATCGTCTGCTCATACCAGAGGGCAATAATCCGCAGGAGCAGCACCGCGTCGAGCCCCGCGATGCTAATAAGCTCCTCCTCTGACATCCTCAGCACGTCCTTGAGCCAGTCAAATATGTGGAAGTCCGGCTTGAGGCTTGCAAGCCCCTTCTTCCCGGTGTGCGCAAACTTGTCCGGGTCCCGCTGCAATGGGCCAGAAAAAGCTCAGCTCTCAGAAGTGGTGGTAAAAGTGGCTAAAAGACGGGTTTGATTGGAGGTCTGCGTCTACACTCACGGCTCTTGAAGTTATGTCTGGAGGGCTACAGCAGAGCTTAATTGAATGGACGATGTAGGTCAAGATGAAAAAAGAGGGGCTGCTGGTAGTAAAAGTTGTTGCGGACTGCTTCGTGTTCAAGCTGAAGACTGTTGCAGCACAAGATATGATTAACTGGACTTCAAAGATAAGTCAGGTTGTTTAGTGGTTCCTAGTTGGATCAAGCGATGCAGCGTTCTTGCAGCATAAGCGGAACCAAAGCACTCTCAGGAATGCAGGTGAGGGCTGTCGCAAGATCTAATCAAGATCTAATCAAGATCTAATTAGCTTCAATAAACAATTCTTCATGATAAGCTATGCTTCTAAAATATGTCTGCAGTATGACGTCAAGCAAGTTTTGCATGGGGTTGGTTGTCAGTCAGGAGATGGACGAGCGCTGGAGTCGTCGACAGAATCGACGGAAAGTTCTGAAATGTGGATGTGCACTACTTTTGAGCAATGAGAGATGTCCAAATAGTTCGAATTGCTTGCCCTCGCATTAGTATGTTGCCTATCTGTCTTTGGAAGGAGACGCCCAAAATGCACCAGCGTTGTCTTAATGATGGAAAAAGTTGCTAGCAAAAGCAGGGAAAGGAAAACACAAGAGAGAAAGATGAAGATTACTATTTTATGAGTGCAATCAAATTCGTCTGTACTTTCTTACATGAAAATATTAGATGGTAAATGAAAGAACAAAAGGATATGCTCACTTGAGAGACGATTATGAATATGGGGCAATGGACCGATTGGAGTCTTACCTCAGACAGCGCAGAGAAGTAAACGCGCATATTGATGGGGAAGCGCGACGCCACCATATAGGCCGCCACAAATAGACCCCCTGCGCCCAGATTGATGGCCGCCGAGACGCCAAGATTTTGCAGAGCGCCCCCCATCTTGAGCGCTCAGAAGAGGGCGCAGCAAGTGCCAAAACAAGGTTAATTCTGCAGTCCTAGACTGATTGAGCTGTCCAGTCTGGAGCCTTCAGTACCTCTTTGGATTGCTAAGATTCAGTAGAAGGCTCCGAGCCATCCGTGAATGATCAATGCCAAAGAGTGGTCCGTCGAGTGATGTACTGATTCAATCAGCTCTTAGCTCGTTAACAATGTTGGGTCCAGAATCAAATGCAGGACACTTGAAGAGCTCACTGCAAGTGCCTTAAGACAATTGCAACAGCCAAGAAACCAGTGGCCTTAGCAATCGCAAGCCTGACAGCGCGATGGAGAGATTCCTGTGCAAATACGCAGCTTTTAACTCCCCGCCCTGGAGATGCAGGCGTGGTAAGGATGGTGGTTACCCTCCTACATGGAGGTGTCACGCCTTGCTCGCATTTCCAATCAAGCCCTTCTCCTGAGTAGCTTGAATCTAATCTACCGCTTTCTACTAGGCCTCTTGGGATTACCTACTGTACTGTCAACAACACTGTACTGTTGACAGCACGACCCGCGAGCTCTGAAAAGAAACGCCTCAAGGGCTTGTCTGCTGCTCCGCTCCTTCTGATAGACACTGATCAGCAGCTCTGCTGGTCCCTGGGCCTGGGGCCTGTACA